TTGTGTCTACCTACCCTTGCGTCCTACATTGTCCAGTCATTTGGGCTGGGACCTTGGATGTGCAGCTGTATAGGAGGAACACGTCAGATGGACTCCACACGGCAAATGACCCCGCCCTTTTTTGATTTGACGATTCTTGTTTTTGCTTATTGTACACTACTTGACTCGCTTGATGCATGGTCTACAGCAGACTAGAAGCCCCTCACGCCCATGGCATGGGTGAGACACTATTCTCTCGTGGGCAACATTCAACTCGTACCTACGAGACGTTCCCATTGGTGGATGATCAAGAAAACCATAAGCCAGGCGAATTGAGCAAAGGTAAGCTACGGGGTAGCACGACGTTAGTGAGTCGAAGACTGGCCATAAGACAGACCACAATGACACGAGAGTCAAACCATTTAGTCCAGTTACGCCTGTTAGTCTAGGCAGCAGCCACCACACGAAAAATCAATCGACGGAGGTAAATTCCGCTCAGCTTTTTCTTTTCCTTTCCCAAGGATTCTTTAGCTTTTCCTTCTCCTCTAGACGCGTAGTGAGGTGGCTGTGGCAGGATAGTTGGCGGTTCATGCGTCGTTTCATTGCTTCCTTGGCGGCAGTTGGTACGTAGTGCGGGCCTTGGTCTGAGCGCTGTACTATATATACATGGGATTTAGGTGCCCTGCCCTTCTACAGCCAACGTGCCCGTCTCGTCAACATGCCCTTATGGTCATCCTGCCCTTCTGTCCAACTTGCCCGTCCAGTTGGTCTGCTCGTCTGTCCTTAGTCTGACGCTTCTGCTGGATGATTGGATCAGAGGACAAAATGCAGGGAAAAAAACAAGATGTGGAGCGTGATCCTAATAGGGGGAAGGCGGGCACAGGAACACTTCTGGAGTATGACGGGCGGGCGGAGAGTTTGTCTTTTTCCAAGTGAAACAGCGAGAAAGCCCCGAATGAACGTTTTCGATCTCCCGATGAGATACATAACACGCGGCGCGCGCCTCCACACAAAACCCTAGATCTCCGATCTGTCTACTACCTCGCGTAAAATAGTGCCCCAAGCAGGATTTTTTTTCGGCTTTTGCTCCTCTCACGATCTCTCCTTTTTTTCCCCTCCTGCTATACCCTTGTCTAGCTGAGACCACGCGCCCGCTTCGGTCCGTGTCGATGGGATCGTCAGCTTATATCGTAGATCGCATCCGTCATTGTGGGAACATGGGCATTCTTGACCCGGGTTTTGGCAAGATGTGGAGAACGGGAAGATCCTGAGAGATGGGGGATAGCAGTGCGAGATCGCGATGAGTGTGGGAAACAGAGATTGAAGGGTGGTGCCGGAGTTGAGGCTCTCTACTCTAGTGTCACACACACAACAGCCGCGTACTACTCTTCACCACCTTTCCTCCCCCATCACGACATCTGCACAGACGTATGTACTTTCTCGCCTATTGTACTCTTTCGAGCTATGCGTCTGTGGCGTTGTCGCCGGGTGGTGACGTAGTGACCCGTGTGGCTAACTCTTACACCTACGTCACTCGTCACTCAACGAACTGTCTTCCTTCCCAGAGAGCGAACGAACGCCTCTTTTTTGCCCCGCCTGTTCCAACAACGCTGTTCACCCCGCGCTGTTTTGCTGACCGTTTCTTTTTTGCCTTTTAACCTTATGGTTCGTCTTGGCGTGAACTGCTGTTGCTTGTTCGCGCCAAAGACGACCCGAGATCTCCGAACACGCGGTCGCCTCGCACGTGTTCGCAAAACCTACTTCTGACTTCCGCCTCTTACCGCTTTCGGAAGTAGTTTTGGGGGAGGCGAGTAAGAGGAAGCTTTCTGTTTCCTGGGACTGGCTGGTTTGCCAAGCACCGGGAGGCAAAGAATGATCTTCAGCATGTGCTTGTTTGCTCACTCACACACTTTATTTCTCTCTCTCACCTCGTGATTTTATCGCTAATCTTGTTGCGGCAGCAGCAAGGGAGTTTGCAGAAAGGCAAAAAAAAAAAATCAGCATGGCTTACTGTACCGCTTACATTAGGGAGGGGAAAGCCTGCTCCGGGGAAAGAATAATCACAAAAGTGCATGTCAAGGAAACTCGTGCAAAGGGTGGTGTGTGGCAGGGGCTAACGGGCTAGGCTGATCCAGTCAACCATCGCATTTCGCCTCTCCTCCCACCCCCCCACACTTTCCCATACTTCGCCATCCACTCTTTTTTTGCTTTTTTCTAGGGGACTTTTAGTGTTGTGTCACACATGCACCGCAGCGTAAAGGGTCCATGTGATTTTTTTCAGGGCACGCACAGCGCGAGCAAAAGCGTGCGCGCGTGGTCTGGAAAATGTGACCACCAGGCATCACTGGCGGGGGCGGCGGTTGACTACTTGCTGATCATGAGCTGGCTCTCTCTCTTTCCCACCAACATTACGGGGTGTGTCGCGTGACGAGCAAAAAGCCAGTCCCTCATCTCCTCGGGGCGCGTGCGTTGGAGACACACATCCGGTTTGCCGCACAACACGGAAGAGCCGTTGTTGGAGAAGGGGAAGGAAGAACTGATGAGCGGGGGAAAAGGAGTACGTTAGTCACTAGTGAGTTGCGAAGGAAAGCGGGGTAGAAACAACACAAAAAAAAAGCATTAATTGATTATTGTTGCTGCAACCAACGGAACTTCCGAAGGGCAGTTGGTTTCTACGCCCCGCATACGAGCCTAAAGAAACTTGATACTATGTAGAATGGCAGTGAAAAATGCAGGCAGAAAGATCATCCTGACGAATATGCAACAACGGAAAACAAAAAAGCAGGGAAGCAGCAGTATGCGGGTAAGAAAGAGGGCATACGAAAATCTTCCTAGCTTCAAGCCACGACAAACGGCTCTCTCGTTCGATGGGATGCATATTTTTTAGCTTATATCCTGTGTCTTAGCTGCATGCGGGGAAGGAAGCGAGGGAGCGCTCTCGCTTGTAGGTGAGCAAGAGAGAGAGAGGGAAATTGGGCAGCAGCAAGGCAGCGGGGAAGGGGGGGAGAGCGTAAGCACGGAAACGCAACACGCATGATGCATTGCAGAAGCGTGGATTGCGAAAAGGCATGCCTGCAGCCGCGCCGTTTTCTTTTCCCTCATTCTCGCCTCGCCCTCCCCCACGCACCACTTTGTCGACATTAGTTCGAAATATCCGGCAAGCCTTGACGAATCAGGAAAAAAATTTGAAAGAGTTCCTTCAGTTCCTTTCCCCCTCTTCCTTTCCCCCCCGTCCCCTCTCCCCTACCCACGCCAATCTAATGCAGGGCAAGTAAGGTTTGTGCGGGGGAGGCTGGTGGCTGGCTGGGCTGGGCTGGCTTGCGCGCTGGGCTGGCCGGCCGGCCGGCTGGGGTAGCTAGTCTGCGCTTATTTCGTTATTTCCCTATTCCGTTCATCCTACGGCCGGCGCGCGTGATGTACACACTACTCACGATAGTTGAAAGGATCGTGTATGCCAAGAAGATGCGCATCGTAGTGTTTCGTACAAATGAGTAAGGCTGAAGTGCCAAGCTCCGCCCCGATGGAATATGCTATTTTGCTGACGAAATCCCATGGCGATCACGCTCCTCCTGGTGAATCTGTTTCCGCGACGTGACTTTTAGTTGACTCGGCCGGCGTGGTAGGGCTAGCCGGGAAGAACAAATGGTTCGCGGTGGCTAAATGCCGGCGTGATACCTTAGTCGAGTTGCTCGCAAACCCATGCCATACTGGGCTTGATATTATTATTGCCGGTCAAAGAGAGATACAGAATCATTCGACCATTGGCTCCCCTTCTGCCCGCAAACGCGGCAAACGCGATATATTGCAAGCATGAATAATGGCAATTTCGGCCCTTTTGTTGATATTGTCAGGGCAAGCGAAGCCCTGGCAAAAACATGGCGAATTGTTTTGGATTTTTCCTTGGATAATGTATCTCAAAGTCAAATCGTCGATACGAGAACTCGCAAGGCAGAAGTAAGTGGGGGAAGAAGTCTCGACCACCGCCTTTCGCGACAAGTGTGGGGGGAGGGAAGATGATGAGATGGGTCACGAGTCATTGATGACTCGCAGGTTTGGACACAGATGAGCAGAGAGGATAGGATTGCAAGTTAGATCCACAGGACGAGGAGACGAAGAAAGCGTCAACCGCGGCAGAGAGAATGGTTAGCATGCCTACGCGTCTTCCGTCGCACCTTTGGGTGGATACGAGCTTTTTTTTCCCCCTCAATCTTACGATATGAGACTCGTCGCAAGGCACAAAAAAAACGGCGCAGAAGAATCGCGTATGTCCGGTATTCGTGGGAAGGATTGGAGTAGTGGAGGCTCCATTACTTCACCATGATAGCTACATTGCTCAGAGTAGGAAAAGGAAAAAGGCAAAGGCAGAAACAGGGCGTCCTGCCGCAACCCCGGCGGCTTCGCTGCGACATACGGAGTAGCGTCGATGAAGGGCAACGGAACAAACGTAAGGTTAAGGGAAAGAAGCAAAAAGGGCCTGAGCTGAAAAGGTGAATCGGATCTGCGGTTCGACTTAGCCGAGGTGACGGCCTGAGTAATGTAGCGCGTCCCTTGACGATGCTACATGCCGCGCATCTAACCCTGACCCCGGGTCCCGCCAGCCATACGCAAGCCCGCAGCTAAGGATGGGCGATCGAGCAGCGTTTGAGACCGGACCGAATGGCGGGGGTCCGGATAGTCTAAAATCTTTAGCGGTTGCTTCGCCCTGCAAATCCTTGCTAACGACTATCTGGATTGACAGGCAGGGATACAAGGGTGCGCGGAAGCGGACGAGCTCGGTTTCAAGCGAGCCCTCGGAGGAACCCGAGCGACCAAACCTTCAGACGAGCCGCTTTGCAGGTCGAGAATATCCTTATGAATGTGATCTTCAAAACGAAGACAGAAACGGAAATCGCATTGGGTCTCAGCGCAGGTCCATGACTTATCTGCTGACGGGAGAAAGGATGGCCTGAAACCAAAAGCCCGGCCAAGGAATGACGAGACAACGAACGCTTGCTATACGAAGAGATGACGAATACACGGCATTACGGAAGGCCGCGCCCCGAATTCACGGCGTTTGCAAGCTGCGAAGTATTCGGGCGGTTCTCTGTAGTAGTTCAAAAGTCAACCTTTCGGCCGAGACGGTCTTTTGACACATTTAGCACTCACCAGCGTATCGCTCGTAACTATCCAGGTACAGGTCATCTGTGCTAGTCGTCGCCTGCACGTGAGGGTCCTTCTCAATTGCCTCTAACCATTTCCCCCACCGACTTCCGGCTTCCGGTTCGGGCCATGCGCGATAAGGCTTCAGAACCTTGTTGAGCCGGATCACCCAAGGTGCCATTTGGACATCGACGAAAGACAGCTCCTTGCCGAGGAAGAAAGGGCCCTCTTTGTCGGCAGCATCCACGAGCTTGGTGATCTCCGACTTGAGGTCCTCGGCGTACCTGACTTGTTTTTCTGCATCCTGCTCTTGTAGAAAGCGGTAGAAGCCGGGGATGAAGTGTCGGTTGATCTAATCCGTGTCAGTATGGAATTATAGATATGGGATAATCCTGAGCAAAGTGTGCGGAAGGGAGCACGCCCTACTAGGGATTGACTTACATGGTCACTCCACAACCTGCTATTTGCACGCAGCTTGGGGTCAGAAGGCATCAAGGGCCGGCCAACGCCAAGGTCCTCAAGCTTGGACGAGTCAGCATCGCCCGCTAAATGTTCTCAAAGGGTGCATACATATTCCATCAAGACAGTGCTCTCGTAGCAGCCCCAGTCGCCATGTCTTAGGGCAGGGACAAGGCCACGAGGGTTGACTTCAAGCAGCGATTGAGGCTTCTTGTAGGGGTCCACCTCAATGTACTGGTACGGGATATCTTTGTACACCAACGATATCCACACACGTTGGACGAAGGGGCTGCATTTACACAAACTGGGTTAGATCAAGCACCTCGCTTTTCCTTGTTTCGCGGGGAAGGCTGCATACCAGAAGCAGCTACCGAACAACTTCAACTCATTCTCTGCTGCGTGCTTCTTGGCTGTGTTTAGCGCATTGCCGGTCGCTTTCGTGTGGTAAGTCTTCTTTGCATCGGGTTGCTGTTGTTTGTCAGACATGTTGTCGAGGACACGGGCACTTGTGGTAAAAGAGCTTCGTAGAGGGTAAGAATGCGAAAGTAGTAGTATTCGACGACGCTGTGAAAGCAGTCGCCCGAGAGATGCAAGTGGACTTGAGACAAGGGTATATCGCGATACAAGCCTGATAGGCGAAGTGTGCACAAGCAAAGACATGAGAGAGGAAGGTCGAGGTTGAAAGGTGATGTTGATGTCAGGAAAGTATGACGCCATAGCCGAGATCTCCACGTGGGTCCTGATTCCAGGGTCCAACGCCGATCGCAAACGAAAATAGAAGACCTTACCGGCTGCTGCTTCTTCTTTTCCTTCTCGTTCTTCAACGTGTGTCTGATGACGCTGTTCTTTTTGATCCTGTCGCTTTCTTCCAAGTCATGCTTGTGCGGGCCAGGGTTGCCATCAGCTTTGCCGTTCGCTCCATTGCCGTTTACACGCTGGATTGTGTAAATTCTGCGGCTGTACGGATCGGGCTGTGTCAAATGCAAAGCGGACATTGGCCATTGCAGCTGCCCAGGCACGTTCGAAGCTGGTGCAAGAGGAGCAGACTCTGGGACAGGCTGCTCGGTCAACGGGCCCACGTTGTCAGGCGTTGCAGAGCCAGGCTCGTATTCGGTAATCTTTATCTTAACATCGCAGAGATCACGTTCACGAGCAACACGCTTACGCTTTTTCTTGTTGGGGTCATCCGACTTGGGAGTGCCTGGAGGACGACCCTTCAAGCGGCAGTCCCAGTAGTGCGAGACGAAGGGCTTGCGCTTGTATCGCTGGGTCGAGCGGTGCGAGTAGATGTTGTCTACATGCGGCCAGTACGTCTGGAATCTGACAGGCATCAGAGGGCTGCACAGAGCATTCTGTCCCTGGGACATACTGATCCTCAGTCATGACAATCGTCTGGTCAACGTCGAAGAGGCGTTGTCTCCACTGGTCCAAGTTCGGGGGGTCCAGCACGAGCTTCAACCCTTCGATCTTGCCATCGGACTTCGCCGCATCTTGGGCCTCTGGAGGCGGCTGAATCTGGACGCGAGGAGCCGCAAAATGCGGGTCCTGCTGCGGTGAGCCAAAGTGGAAGAGTGTAGTATTGGACTGGTGGGGTGAGATGTGCTGTGACTGCAGGCCGCTTAAAGCAGGCGGCAGCTGGTCCCTTTGCGATCGAATTGCCCGATCGGGAACGGCAGTCAAGAAAGCAGGCTGCTGGAAGAGGACGCCGGAGTCATCGGGATTCACGGCGTAGGTTCCCGAAGCAGCGGCGGCAGCGGCGAAGGCGTGGGCGGCTCCGCGGTCATCCTGGGGGTGCTGGAAGGTGTGCAAGGCTGCAGGCTGCAGGGTGCGCAGCTGCGGCGGCGATGTCGCGATATGATCCATTATTGCTGAAGATCTGTCGCTGCTTTAAGACGGGAAAGCTAAAGGTGGCATGGCATGGCAGTCGCGGCGGGTCGACTTTGTCCCGTTCCGGGCACGTGCGATGAGGCATGCTCTCTCATCTCTTCGTCTTACGCTGATCTTATCTTTTGAGACGAAACATGAAAAACTATCGACGCCACGCAATCCTGCCCAAGCCCAAGGCGTCTGCCGGCGGTGTAAGACGGGAGTGGATGCCAATGGAGCCGCAGACCCTTCTTCTGTGCCGGGCCTTCCTCGGGCCCCGTTGCTGACGCGGTTGGAGAAAAGGTAGTGGCCAGTTTCGCGCCGGGGCTCCACTGCCCAGCCGGCCATCAGCCGGCCACTTTCCGCCCCCAACAGGGCCCCTCTGCACGTCCATGATTAACAACAAGGGACGTCCCAATCATAGACTCTCCACCATCTGTGCCATCGTCCTCACAGTACCCGCTCGAAAGAGGCGCAATGGTAGGCAACAGCAGCCAAGGCAAACGTGCTGGCTGCCGGCCCCCAAGGCCCCACTGCCGACTGCAGTTTCGCTTACGGTCCATCAGGTCTGGCCAGACACTTCAACCCTGAAGCCCTGTTTTTTGCCGCCTGCATTCACGGAGCGAGATACCGTGTAGCACCACCTCGCACCTGTTCCAGCAGTCCGGAGGCGCACTCGTTTGTGCCCTGGAAGCGACCCTTTCTGTCATGCAAAAACGTGTCTGTCGTTGCAAAATGCGACAGGCTGACGCACGCCGTAGGATTCAAGCCTCAGCGGGCGCAGCCACCACATCTCGCCCGTGCTTGCTCCTAATATAGCCGCTGACGGCACCACAGCCGCCCCATATGCCTGTTTTGCGCTAGCAACCAGATAAGCACCAATATTCGAAATGTCGAAGATGTACACTTTCTCTGGGCTTTCTCGGCCAGACAGTGTGTGACATTTCAATAAGAGGCTGACACGAGGCTGTCAATAATCTCCGTTGCCTGTGTCACCTCATCCTGCTTTCTTCCTCAGGAACTTTTTTATGCTGGAGTCTGCAGCCTGTCCCTGATTTTTGTCTTCGTTGTTTGTTTACTGCACATCCATACAATGCGTGTCAGGACTCTACGGTCTCTGGCCATTGGCACTGCGGCATTGCTGTGTGGCAGGTCACTTGCTGCAGATGTCAAGAAAGCAGTGTTTGCTCACTACATGGTTCGTCAGCCTACATCCCTGCAGTAGCTCCCGACACTAACCACCCTTTGCAGGTTGGAGTTATCCACGAAGACCATGTTCATCAGGATGTCGACGATGCAGTCGCCATGGGCTTGGACGGCTTTGCTCTGAACATTGGAGACCCGTCTACCCAGTTCACTCGCGATGTGTTCAACAACATGTTCGACTACACTCGTGACAACCACCCCAACTTCAAGCTGTTCATCAGCATGGACCTGTGGTCTAACAACGACACAATAAACTTCGACGGCTACTTCACCGACTTCCTCGGCCACGACGCCTACTACAAGGGCCCCAACGGCTACCCGTTCGTGAGCACCTACGGCAACGGCGGCTTCTCCGAAAAGGTCTGGAAGAACTGGCGCAACCGCTGGGGCGACAAGGTCTACTTCGTCCCGGACTTCGCCGGCATGATCGGCGAGGGCAACCAAACCGCGAGCTGGTGGAAGAAGTGGGACGACGTCATCGACGGCCTCTTCAACTGGGAGGCCGCCTGGCCGGAGCGCGGCCTGTCCACGACGCCCAGCATCGCCGCCGACAAGGTCCAAATCGACTCGACCAACTCGCAAAACAAGACGTACATGATCGGCCTCAGCATGCTCCAGTACAAAAACTCGTACGGCGCCAACATCTACCGCGCCGGCGAAGAAAACCTCTCCTGGCGCATCCACAACATCCTCAACATGACCTCCACGCCCGCCTTCGCCCAACTCCTCACCTGGAACGACGGGCCCGAGTCGCACTACGTCGGCACCATCTGGCCCGAGATGAACAACGACACGGACCCGGACCGCTACGCCACCCAGGAAGCCGCCCCGCACAACGCCATCCGCCCCGTCCTCGCCTCCTTCATCGCCGCCTTCAAAGCCGGCCTCGGCGCCGCCGACATGCAGCCCTACGGCGATTCCGACGCCGACAAGGCCGCCGTCGGCGCGCTGTGGTACAAGCCCATCACCGCCGCGACGGAGTGCGCGAACGAGGACTCGGGCGAGCTGCATGACGAGAAGCCGGATGGGTACGAGGTCGCGGCGGACGTCGCGGCGTGGGCGGTCGTCGTGCATGCGGATGCGGGGGAGGGGCATACGCTGCGTGGGTTTAGTGGTGGGGAGAAGGTTGGCGAGGTGGATCTCGTGCCGGGCTTCAACTTTGGCAACTTCAGTGCGTTGCGCGAGGGCGCGCAGTGCATGGAGGTCAGGGATAAGGATAGCAATCTCGTTGCTGTCGCGCGCGGTGGCGGCGAGGTGACGAGCGATTGCCCCGATGGCATCTACAACCTTAATCCCCAGGTGGTCGGCTTGTCAGATGATCTGAGCGATGGTGGGTGCGCGGGTAAGGAGGATGATGGGGGCGCTGATGATAGCAGCAGCAATGACGACGATGAGAGCTGGGGCATCAAGGGCGCGGCGTTGGATCGCGTTTGCTTGGTGTCTGCGCTGGTGGTGTCGTTTGTGTGGGTCACGGGCTTGGTGGGCTTGTGAGGGTGTGGTTGGTGAGCGGTTTCCTTTTTTCTTCATGAGACACGACTATGCGTTATGATTGGTTTCCTTGTTTTCTACTATAGACGGAGGGGAAAAGGGCATGCTACGATGAGCGAGCATTTGCGGTTTGGGTTGGAGATACCCCCTATTCAAGTTTGTTGCTTTTTTTTTTCACATAGACATGACGGGTTAGACGGGAAATTAGAATGGAATATTCATGAGCACATTATCCTCGAAACTTGCCGCGTGTCAGCCTCGCGTACTGCAATGTGACGGTCGCTTGTGAGGCTGTCAGCAGGATTGTGCTCCCTCGTGTCAGCTCGCCGCACAACGCCACGCACCCTCGTGTTTAAACTCAATGCAAAAAAGAAAAGGAATTCATCTGACTTCTTTACTAATCATCGTTCTGGGAAAGACACTGCACGGTTCTTTCATATTACAGTGTCTGTGTATATCGAATTGCCTATATAAAGCCAACCGACTTGGCAAAACCTCCCGCAAACTGCTCACTGGCCCTCGACCAGAGAAACAGATCATTTCACACTCAATAATGCTTGGGCTACTCCTTCCCGTGTACCAATCACTCATGATAAGCTCAAATACAGCATTCTATCATACGTTAGCGTCGTGACCATCTATTGAATAACAATGGCATCCAATATAAAGAACCGATGATGATATTGAGCTACAAATCGATGATGGCGGACAGCATCGTTTCCGAGCAGCAGCGAACAGCGTCGCATTAAAGTTCGCGACAAGGAAAAGAAATGAAGTAACCTTGTTGAAAACATGGCAGCACAGCGACAGTGATGTTTAGCCCTTCCCAGTCCAATTCAAGAAGGGAACTGTGTGTATAGGTCATCCACAACAACTATGTTAGTGTAGGGTGAGATGTGGTCTTATATATTGACACTTTTGGATGGTGGAAAAATATCACATGGATTACCTAGCGTGTGACATGCACATTACTGAATGATGCGCGAGAAATTTTGCCATGTCACACGTATCCCACAGATCGAGCACAACATGGACCACTATATAAAAAGTATCAGGATGCAAAAGTTAATGGCAGCAAGTGGAGCTGCCAGCCAAGCAAGAATCCCGTATCAATAAGGTCCCCCCCGAGCTCACTTTTGTGCGCTATTGAAATCCGAAGTATTGGTTCTGGGTTCGCCCATCTTTTGCATCCAGGAATGGCTGACTTGGGCGGCAATACTGAAGCGTCAGATCAACAACCCCCCTCACTATTGAATAAAACTGATGTGCAGTACTGGAACATCGCATTCCTCCAAATACTCAATGACAAACAATGATTCTACTCAGAGTTGATGTACAGCAGTTGCAAGAAGGGCGCAAGAAACCCTCATCATTCAACGCAGCCGAGCATTCGCGTTCCCAAATGGCCGTCGGCATATAGCACTAGTGTTCTGTTCAAGGGTCAGTTCTCACTTTTGGGCAGGTCTGCAAACATAAGCCGTGTGGTGGCGCTTTCCCCGGCACTTTCATCGGCAGATAAATCTCATCGATTTGGTGCCGTGCATCACGATTTCTAGCTACGATTTCTAGCTACGATTTCTAGCTACGATTTCTAGCTACGATGTTAGGTCTTGAGTTCCTCTGGAGCCATTGAATATACTCACCAATCATCAAAAGAGGTGCGGAACCCGAGAGGTGAGGAATGATGTATTTCATTATGTTTTGTTGTGATAGGCAAACCACGGTCGCATTTGGATCACAGAACCTAGCATGATATCATGTCATACTCCACGGAGAGAGAGAGTAGCGAGCTTGTCAGCCGACTCTCAGTTTTTGTTGGAGCCCCGCATCCCTGTCCAGAGTTCAAACCGAGGATCATCGATTTGGCGAATTTATCTTGTCCAGGGGACGTCCCAGCTGGCGGATTCGCTCAGGTATCAGCAGATAAGAGGTGTACGGCATTATCGCTAAATCACGGGTCCGAGGTGCAGTAACAAAGACAGCTCAGCTGCCTACCTTGTATCTTGGATCAAGTGGCTCGTTGTTGCCGGTGGGTTGCGAAAATTAATTTAAAGCCAAGTGTGGCTATTAAGGCGCTGTTTTCTCAACGAGTTAATTTTTCATTTCTCTGAAAATATCGAGAAGTTTAGACACAAACTGGGGTGTCCTGTTTGTTGGACTTGTTTTGCCTTGCAGTATCGTTGATGGTTCCGTCACCTTTACGATCCTTAACGCTACACCATGAATGCTTAGCTTTGCGTTCTCATCATTGTTATAGAATGTTGGCATCATTCATCATTACCAAATGGTACAATTTGATTAAGGAAAATGGTGGTATCCATTTATCACAACGAGTAGCGGCACTTCTGTCTGCAGGCTGATAACGATAGGGAAAGCAACCACGTAAGGGATAGAAAAAGAGTATAAGGCCTAATTTGGCGGGCACTTTCTGGATGGACTGTACAAGTTGAGAGGTCCAATAGTTGTTTGAGTTAATGTAGAAAAGAAGAGGATAATTTAAAAAGAAGATGAAGTGAGCCACGGGCCGCACACGTGAATATCGAGGATATGTCATACTGCAAAAATGGATGCTAATCAAACTACCCAACCTATCAGCATATCGGTATTTACCCGTCTAAGTAAAGCGACGAGGACACTCTTGTGTAGTGCATTTGCAGCCTCGTATTGGTGCTGGCTTTGCCTTGGGGCATCTCAATCAGCCGCTACACCTTTAGACATCACTTTCATTGACTGCTCTGCTTCAATATTTTCTCCAAGTGATGCTCTCCAATACCGAAATAGCCTAAGCAAACTAACAACATCCATCTTCATAGCGATCTTTCAGGGAATGACCATCCCCCAAGTCAGATTCGGGCAATGAAGTCAGTGGTGGGAAGGAAGTCGTTCATAGTAGGAGGGGTAGCGTAAGTGAAATGAGCAACCATCTAACCAAGCTCAGAGAAGATGGAGGTGGTTGAGAGAATCGGTGGCTCTGCAAATGAGTGCTAATATTTGAAGCCGTGAAGAAGCCGTGGCAGGTGCAAAGAAGATCGTCGTGCCCCGCTGACATGAAGCCGTCACATGTGAAGAAAAGGAAAAACTGATAATGTGAATACAGTCCCCTCTCGTAGCCGATGGCTAGTGTGGATTTGTTTTTTTTTTTGCTCGTGTTATGGTTAGTTGAAGCTATCATCCGGACGAGAATGTCGAATTAAAATTTCTACGTGCACGTCCAAATTCTGCATACACGTCCGGACGATAGCTTCAGCTACTCACATGTATTATTTTTCTAAGGCAGAGCTGGGGCATAGTTATGCTATGTTCTGGAGCGCTAGCCATCGGCTGCAGCACCCCTCTGTATATCGGCCCGGAAGAGAGTGAGCTTAATTGCTTTTCTCGTTTGCTTCATGACTTGAGTACCGAGCGCTAGCCTGATGTGACAATCAGGACAAGGATACGATTAGCACTCTAGTCCAATCAACCGGGGCCAGGGGACATGGAAATACGAGGAACAACACGAGCTTAAGTGAACTGCATATTTCTCTGGACTTTCTATCAGAGTAGACTTTTCAGATGCTTCAAAGACCTTGTGTTGCCGTGATTGAAGTGAAGCAGTAAGCAGAGACGGTGGGTATACGCAGAAAGGACAGACAGATGATCGGAATTGCCAACCCCAAGACCAAAAAACAGCGAACTCAAAATCAACCCAAAACACAATCACCCAACCCAGCAATCCCGACCCCACCCATCCCGCATACCCGCACGCACCGCCTCCTCGCCAACCCCCCTCTACTTACATCCTCACGACTCATCCACCTCCCCCAACCTCTCCGTCTGCATCGGCAACCTCACCATCCGCGCCGTCTCCTCCCTCGGCGTCATCTTCCTCGTCGGCTGCTCCGGCCTACTCGCCGCCCACCCCGGCATCGACGCCGCCCTCGACGGCGGCCGCGACGGGCCCCTCGACACGCTGCCACTCCGCAGACCGCCCCCACCCCCACCGCTGGCGAGGTACTCAGCATACGCGCTACTCGACGCCGGAATCGAGCGCTCATCGTCATCGAAGAAGGTGCTGGACGTGCGGGTCCTCCGCCTGCTACTATACCCCGTCCCGCCCGCGCCCCCGTCGATTATGCATTCGCCGCCGCCGCCACTGGCGGATTGCCGCAGAAGCCGGTACTGCTGCTGCACCTGCTGCTGCTGCTCGAACAGCTTCTCCTGCGCATACGTGCCATTCAGAATCCCAAAACTGGACCGCCTGGCGCGCCCATTCTGACCATTGTTGTTGCTGTTAATCGTCCCCGTTATATCCTCCTTCTCAACCATCACAACCATCCACACCCCCGGCGCGCCGTCGGCGCCGTGCAGCGGCGTGCAGTGGATGTAGCGCGGCTTGCCCTCGATGCTGTTGCTGCGCGCGTGGAATTGCTGCGGCGCGGGACCGGATATCCGAGCGCTGCTGCGGTTGCTGTTGTTGCCGCCGTTGACGTTGCCCGTCAGCCAGTAGACTTTGGCCGTGACGCGGGCGCCCTCGGCGAAGGCCGCGGCGATGCCTTCGCGTACGGAGTGGGGCCCGCCGATGCGGTCGAGGAGCCGGGATTGCGCGAGGCCCGGGATGCGCAGGGCGGCGGAGGTGAAGAGGATGCGGAGGGAGGGCCAGGGGCGGACGAGCATGAACTGTTTGGGTTGTGGCACGCCGCGGTCAGTTTTTGGCTTGTTCGTTGAAGTCTTGGGGCGGGGGGGGAAGGGAGGGGGAGGGGAGGGGAAGGACTCACGTTCTGATAAACGCCCGGAAGTCTTCCATGAGGCCCGAATTGGGTAGGCGGCCAGACGTTGATGGCCAGCGGGTCCTCGATGCCCACGTATCTCCGGGCTGTGGCTGAGTTGAGTGAAGCCTGTGGTGCGGGTGCCGGCGTGCTTGCGCCAGACGTGGCGGAATTGCGCGTCTTGAACTTGAGGACCTCCATCTCCTCGGTGCTGAGCAGCTCGCCCATGTCCCCTAGTGCCTTGTGAGAGCCCTTTGGTGCATTGCCGCCCTGCCTTCGGTTCTCCACATCTTCGTCGAGCAGCATTTGAAACGACTCGAGACTTCTGCCGCCCTCGATTAGGTTTGTGACGTCGATTTGGCAGCCGATGAAATATCGAAGCTTGCCCATGTTGTCGTACAAAGGCGCGATCATGCATAGGTTTAGGAAAGGCGATCCATCTCGACGGCTATGATTTGAAAATACGTCAGCGCTCTGTTTCTGATCTAATACGAAGCTCTGTATACCTGACAGAATGTGGAAGTGGCGTATCTATGAATAGGCGGAGGAATGGTCGACACACGAGAGGCTAATCACTCACTAATTTAAGACGGTTTCGCAGGTCTCACGACCCGACCTCATGGCTTCAGCCATGCGTTCTGCGGTTGAGGATTGTGTCTTCGGTCCTTGGAGAAATCGGCAATTTCTCCCAATTACGTAGTCTCGTCCGTACTGTGTAACCAAGTGGAACTCTGAGAACAATTAATGGTTTCATTCCTGTGGAGAGACATTCCAACAGATACGAGGTATGAGTTACCTTCCGAAGCGTAGATGATGGGGCTGTCCGGTAGAGAAGGGTCTCCCAAACAATACACCTCAGCTAGTCCCTCAGCCAGGTGTCGATTCATCGGCGCGCTAGTCCCTGTTATCTCTTTTACTAGAAGTTCCGTGACAAGTTGCGTCAGGCAATTTGTGATGTATGCGGGAAGAGCATCGTTGATTAGCTCTTCCGCAGCCCCTTGCGACTGTCTGTCGAATCTGCTGCTTAGACGTGCGGCCGTTGTTGACGATGACGACGATCGCTTTTCTGGCGCTGTCATTTCCAATGCAATGGAGTTTGCATAGTCAATAGCCGCCTTTGCTTTTCGGCTTTCGAGGTACCGCACCAATGTAGGAGCGGATCGAGGTCGGTATTGGTTAAGGAACATGGTGAACCGAGAAAAGGATGCCTGATGGCGCAGGATTAAATTTAGATGATCAGTAGAAAACAACCTGTCTGCCAGACGTTCTGCATTGGCGAGTGTAAGATTTGGAGGAGGGGGCATTAGATCGTAGCCACTGTGGCCGCCTGGAGAAGACGCAGCAGACTGTGGCTGGTCGTCATTTTCAGGGCAGTCAGCTTGGTCGAATATTGAAGGGACATTTGCTGAAATGCTGGAAGAGATTCCTTCTCCTTGCTCGTTAGAGTCGTGAAAGTTGAGACCTTGGAAACTCTCGGGTAGGAGCTGTGTTGCAGAAAAGGCAGACATGGTTGGGCTGCTGTGTCGTCTTGCGGCAAGGGAGTCGTTTCTTTGAAGTGGCTTGTCTACTGCAGCTTCGATCTCGCCTGCCATGCTTGAAGACTCCATCCAATATAGTGGGGTGACGGATCTTCGCCCACCCTAGTGATGCAGACGGCGATCTTAACTAATGCGCAAATTTTGTGGCGGGTGAAGGCTTCTTACATGGCTTGCCAAGGGACGGCTTTGGGGAGAGTCGGTCGATGCGTCATCCATCGGGGTGGGTGCGAGAGCAAAGTGTGGCTTCTACACATGAATTCCTACAGGCGGGCAGAGGCGATACATAGCCTTGCGGCAACCTTGAAAATCGGGCCATACCAAAAAATACGGCTGCGTGGGCTTGACTCTCACGGCCTTACTGCAGTAGTCGGCCCAGTGTATGCGGCAATTGGGGGGTCGAAAGTCGCCAAATGGCTAAGCAGCTTGTTAGTTGACTGGGAGGTCCCTGTCACTGCAAAGTCCGGAGCGTAGCCTGAGGATTGCATGCAGGGTGTGATCCAGATAACAGATCTCTGTAAGCTCGGGCGATCGGAAATGGATCCATGAACTTGTTACTGGACGGTTTCCGGGCCCGACTTTGTCCTCCAGACATTCTGTTTGCTTCAGTTACTCCTGAAGATCGAAGTTGGAGAAGCCACATGCACGCTTAGGCTGACGTTGTCGGACTGCGGGGTCGGGGAATGGGAAATGGGATGGAAAAACAAGGTCAATGACGGGTAGAACAAGGACCAACGGCCCCGGAGGATGTGCCGCAGAATGTGTCGAATGAGATGTCTTCCGGCGGCAGATCGGATGGAGAAGAGTGGTAGCGATAGTGGGAAATGGCGTCACATGCGGGGGAGGGGTCCGACTATCTAAAGGTACCGTATGCGGAAAGCCGTCGCTTGGTGATCCGGTCAGGGCTCGATACGAAGGACAGAGCTTGGATACCGCGTGAGCCGATGAGCTTAAAGTGATGTGTGAGTTTGCCGCTTGAGCTAATCTGGGCTCGCAGAGATATTGTTGTGGTATTATAGCTGATGACAACGAGGATGGAACACGATCGGCCGATAGCCGAGAGCCACAGCTGCAGCGCGTAACGGCATGGCGTCACTGCCGCGTTGTGGCTCACCTCATCTGCAAGTCTTGGATCGACAGGTGATGATCGATTAAGACGTGTTTGTTAAACCCCGATGTCAGTGTTGTCGCGGCAAACCCCGCTACTCCACGCTGTTGCTCAAATGGGATGTGGCTGATGTAATCAGCAGACACTGATGGGATGTCGTCGCCTTGCTCTTTTCCTTGAACACGTCTCCAGCGCATATCCCAACCACGGCTCGCAGCACCTCCGCTGTTCCCCGGAAGGAGGACGGTTGAGGCTCATGGCCAAGGTTGCAATGGTGCGACGGATGGCGCGTGATGCGCAGATTGGATCTGTATCTGAGACGACGCGAGGGCGGGCTGGCGCAGGAGGCTGAGATGTTTCTTGCGAGCGCGCGCTTCCGTGTGGTCCGCGTCCCAAGCCCACAGATGATCTACGGAGGCGGTGGGTAAGACGAGCAGAGCCACCACGTGGAAGCCAGGCACGCAACGCACATTGGCGGAGCTCTTGCAGGTGGAGAAGATAGCCGTTGGGCGTTGGAGATGAGGATTGCGGACGGGCGCTCTGCTGGGCCGTGGGGCGCCGTGTTTGGCTTGGCCCCTGAGAGCCCCGGGCAGAGGGCAGCGCTCCGCTGTGTGCTACTATCGAATTCTCTACCACGAAAAAATGCCCGCCCGCATGGCCTCGACCGCGCAGTAGCCGCTCTAGCTCCGAAGCGCATCCTCCCGTCGCCCCGCCGAACACCGCAGCTCTGTCCCCTGCCATCCGCGTCGCCATGATCCACCCCAGCTAGGACATCCCTGATCGCGTTTGTCCAACGGTTACACGCTCGCGATCCTCCTTTGCGGCCGCAAGCCATGGTCAGCCTGACGACTTGGGGCGCCATGCCCCAGGTTCCGCCGTCGCCCACGCTCACGAACCCCGATATGATCTTGCCCGACCTCAGCGACGGCCAAGACTCGACGCCCTCGCCGCGCCTGCGATCGCAACGCCCACCCTCGCCCCCGTCGCATCTGCTGCGCCAGAGCTTCCATCTCGAAAAGGCCCCGCCGAGCCGACGAAGCCGCTCCAATTCGCGCCCTTCGACCGCTATGCGCGTGTCGCAGCACGGCTCGGTGCATTTCGACGGCTTTGACGGTGACTTTGACGGCGACACCACCCCCAAAGGCCAGGTCCGCCAAGACGACGCTGTCGCTCAGGACACGCCGCGCACGAATGTGATGCACAACTGGCAGAGAGACATGGAGCGCAAGGCTCAGGAGCACGCCCGTCTTGTGAGTGATGCCGACAGCGCCAACTACTCGACTAGTCTGGATGGTGCGCACGGCGACAGCGACGGCAGCGGAAGCGCCGATGACAGCGATGGGCGCTACGGCAGCTTACCGTACGTGGCGGGCAGCGACGAGGACACGGACAACGAGCAATGGCTCGAAGGCCAGGAAGAATTGGACCTGGAGGCCATTTCCTCGGCCGCGCTGAGCAAGCGAGCGGAAATGATTCTCGCCAATGCCAAGAAGAGGCTTAACGTATGTGTTACGCGGCGGAGTGCTTGAGGCGTGTTGCTAACGGCTTTGCAGCTGATGGAAGGCAATCTCAGAGGCGCTCGGCAATCGCTGCTCCCACCTCAGCGGCCCCCGTCGTACACCTCTTACCACTACTACAAAAGAGCCTCTAGCATCTCGCCCACTCCCAAGGGGTCGGGTCCCATCTACATCCCCCAGGCCAAGCATGCCTCCTTACATACGCCGCCCATGTCCAGCCATGGCCACACTCGCGTGCACAGCGAAATATCCGTGTCGTCGCCACCTAATTCATCCTTCTCGCACAGAGGTCAACCTCCTGAAAAGCGGGCCGTTAGTGCGATGGGCCGTTTTAGCGGCCAGTGGTCCCCACACGACTTCAGCCTTGGAAATACAGTCGGAAATCGCTCCAGCGGTTTACGAGGTGTACGAAGCCAAGAAGTCATTAGGCACACATGGGTGTCTTCCGAGCAGCACAATCACCGCTCACCCTCGTGCTCGTCCAATTATCAGGCTTCACCGACGTTGGAAACGCTCCGGGAAGACGAAGGCTACAACAAATCGGGAGGTGATCTGCGACGCTCGGCCTCCACTACGACCGATCTGCGAGCTCAAATGCAAGACCTAAAGGGGAGGATATCGAACCTAAAGGAGCGAGCTCGTGAAGAAGACATGAAAAGACGCAGCCTCGGAAACCTTCGAACTCCTAGTCCTTTCAATTTTGCTAGAGATTGGGATAGTGCGGACCATCACGCAGAGCGCGCGTCATCTTCATCCAGTTCTGAGCGCAATATTAGCGGCATGTACTCCCGTCCGTCCCCCGCGGAAACTCGCAACGGATACTACGAGAGGAATGTTGGACCCCAACAAAGCCAGGACGACGAGAGGTCAAGCGAATCTGGATCCGACGACACCCGCATCCTGGACGATCATGAGCCAAGCACCGACGACCAATTTGGATATGAAGGTGACGATCTGGATGCAGATGGAGAAAGCATATATGAGGATGCACCTCAGGTCGTTTCTGAACGTCACGAGGACCGTGCAGACGCCTTCGATTACGAACACTTCTTCCTCCACAGCGCCATGGGCACTTACACCCGCGAAAACCGTAGCCATAGTGTCAGTTCTGAGGATTCGGTTGAGACCACTCGCCCAGCGTCGCCTCCTCCGGAAGTTCCGGCAGTTCCCGCGATACCCGAAAGCGTTCTGTCGCCGCACAGGCGCACTCGCAGCCAGGATTCTATTTCAACAATAGCTACCTTCCAAACTGCTACTGAGGGAGATGGCTCGGACGTTGAATCGGAAGAAAGCAACGAAGCTCTCGACCAGTTCACAGAGCAGGCTCTTGGCCACCATCTTCCTCCTAAATCGAGCAGCCAGAGTCTGCGCTCGGCCGCAAGCAGTAATAGCGGTCAATTACGTTCTGTTGCAAGCTTTTACAGCCAGAAAACGTCGTCCAGTGGACAGCGCCAGCTGAGATCTGCAGGAAGCATCTACAGTCCGAACATTCATTCGCCAGGGGCCTCGACGCCGGAGATACTCGACCCCACCTCGAAGATCATTGCCTCGTTCTTTAGCCCCCAGAAGGAAAGGGGCCAACTTACGCCGCTCAAGCAGAAGGACGAGGATCTGCTGTACGCTCTGACGACCAGCATTCAGCAAGTGTGTGTTCGACTCCAAAATGCTCAGGACGATGATTACGAAACAAAAATTTGGCGGCGCAGGCTCGACGCGGCTCGGAAGATCCTCGATGGCGTGCCGAACGAAGACATCTGATCTGCACGTTTACCAATGCGCAAAATAGCCCCTCGATTCCAATATCTGTTGATGAAGCCGAACATCCTTGCTCATCCGCAAGCAGGCTTACCTCGCTCGTCGTTCTTTATTCGAGTTTTCTTCGTTTCTCACCCTACACATTCGAATCTTCTGCGCCATAGCAGCCTTTTTTGTCTCTACGTTGCTTTAACTCTTTGACATCGGATTACTCCGACCCTTTCATTCTGTTCAGCTTCACAACCGAACATCTTTTTTATATACATCTTTTTTGTGGTTTCCCTGTTTCTTTCTATTATTTCACATACCCATTCTTCTCTTTTCGGAACCAGTAGAAAGAAAACGAGACCGGGTTGCGGTTTCCGGCGTATTATTTGAGTAGGTGCTTGGGCGGCCGGTGGAGCGGTCTGCTTTCCGTGATATCCCAAAGTTTATACCCCAATTATGGATTGTCTGTCAGCGGCAGTTGTGGTTGTTTCTGTTTCTTCTTCTTCGACTTTTCGCTTTCTTACTTTTCTAGATAGCTTTTACGGACGTCGATGTTTAGTTTGCCTGATAATTGAGGACACCTATTCTTGCGTTGAAGCTGTGTTTGTGGATATGGCGATGGTCGTGTGATGCTGATGCAGTTGGTGGTGACACGACCGATGAAGAGTTTTCTCCTTACTTTTTTTGCATTTGTACGACCTGACGTGCCCCGCACAATGGGTGGCCATTGTTTCTCTTACACACGTGGGTTTGATGTACGTTACAGTAAACTTGTTAGGCCTCAATGCTGCTCATGCTCCTTTCATCTCAAAGGTGGTCAGATTGTAAGCCCAATCATACGTTGAATCCGGCGGTATGACTCTCCGTCCCCGGATGACGACACCTCACCTTTTGCTAATGGCTGCCCCATGACCGGTCAAGCAAGCAGATGGGGAACCGAACGAAACCAGTAGCACCATTCGCCCACACTACTCTTCCCCTCAGGTACCCTTTCCCGGATTCCAAACGGTCGCTGCATCATCATCGGCGGCCAGACCGTCATACTACGTGCATTTCGCATGCATTTTGCATGGCATGGACATGCAACGCTACGCGGACCGACGACTGAACGTCTTCCTTGGATCGTCGCGCCTTCCGAAAGCCGAGTTGCTGATCTCTCTCGTCCAGTGGTTGATGCTCGGGCGCCAGTTGGTCGGCGCTCGGCTGGCGTTAACGAGGTGCACTTCAAAACACCAACACATACATGCGTACATACATACGTGGGATTTGGTGGCGGTAAGCAAGCAAGCAGAGGCAAGACAAAGCAGGTAGGAAGACAGGCACGTCTACCCGCTAGTTGCATACGATTCGTTGCAATTCATGTTTTCTAGTGCACGCGCGCGCTTTGCTCGGTGGTTGTCGGTTTGCTACTGCTGCAACGGTAGCAGCAGGATTCAACGGCCTAGTTTTTTTTTTTTTTTTTTTTTGGGTGCCCGGCGGAGCAAATGGCCGACTTGTCATTGCGTCACTCGCAGGGTGTCTGGCTGCTGGAGACGAAACAGGCGGCTGCTGATGGTGCATACAGAACAGGAAAGAAAGCGAGTGCTGGTAGGCCATCTCGCCGGTCAAGCAGTCCGTCTGACTGATTTTTCTTTTAATTTCTTTTTCGGCTGCCCCACTTGTTTGCATCGTTGGGACCCCTTCGTCATCGTCATCATCTTTTTTAATTAAGTAAGCCTTTCTCTTGGGGACGTCGGGGAGACGCGCGTGCTTTGCCGGTGCGAGTGAGAGCGGCGAGCGTGCCGCGCCGCGACGCGCCGCGCCGAAATCCCAACCCCGGTAGTAGGGTGAGACGGAGGGGGAAAAAAAAAAAAGAAAAACCACGCATGTAGGTATGTGTTTTTCACCGCTTGACCGCCCGTCGGCGGGGCGGAGAATGGTAGCAGCAAACACGAGGCGCCGGGACGGAGCGGGCTCGGAAGGGAGGGGGAGTGAGGAATGCAATAAATGTGAGAGAGAAAACTCAATGCATTGCCCAGCTTTCATAGAATGATTGCGAAATGAAATGTGGTCCTCTATTTGATTTGCAAAAGCGACGATGGCAAACGTTGCGAATGCAGCGTGATGTGAGCCGGGAAAATGTCAGCCTCAGCCGGTCAGCGCGCCCTGCAGCGCGCGGCGAGCTGATGGCTTGCTGAGTGGTGGGGAAGAGAGGACGCTCGGGGCGGGCAAGGGCAGGGTTGGCCTGGATGGGGGATCAGTCGCTTCGGCTGCGGATCTCGTGCGTGCGCAGCGACGGGTTGGGCGGGAAGAGCAGGCTTGAAAGATGCGGTGAGAGAAAGATGGCGCAGACGCGATCGTGGCAGAACAACGGGCGAGTCGGGTGGGCGTGGGGCCTTACAGCAGAAGCGACCAACTGGGACCGCCGCGTGGGCGGTCGACAAGTCGGAGGCTTTTCAGGGTGCCAGAGCCGCTGCGAGTCCTCGTGCTGTGAGCGGTCGGATGCCGCCCTGCAGCATGTGTGGCATGCGCTTGCATGAGATGGCGGCACGCATTTTGCAGCGAGCAGCAGAGCACTGCGTCCGTTCGAGGCCTGGATGGAGAGGCCGGTAGTTGATTGTCAACTAGCGGCCGCTTTGGGTAGCAGCAGGTGCACCGGCAGAAGCTGGCGATTACGCAGGAAAGCTGCACATCTTTACCCAGCTTAAACACGTCAGGTCCTTGCCCGTAGGAGCGTGCATGTGTGATGCGGCTGCTGCTTTCTCTTTTCCCGCCGCGTGCCCAGTCATTTATCGATACATGCCCGCTTGTCCCTCTTGCTCGAGCATTTCCCCAACCCGCCCCCAGCGGCTAGCCGTTCTCCCTCCCCTCGGTTTGCCGGGGAATAGAGAGCCTACACACCCACCTGCACGTTCGACGGCGTTGGAGCACGGGGCACGCCGCCTATCGCGGAAGATTGGCCGGGAGAAGCAGCTCATCACAGCGCAGTGGCTGGGATTGACCGGCTCAGCGCCGCGCTTCGGCAAGTCGTTGGCCGGCAACCTTGTGACCCGCCAGTCCAACCACCACCCTCGCCGCTCCCTTCACAGAAAAGAAAGGGATTGTTTTGCGTAACCCTTTCGCCGCACGCCTCGTCTGTGCCGAAGTAAGCAGCCTCCATCCAACAAGCGGAAGGGGAAAAAAGCTGAGGCGCTCCACAAAACGCCCTGCCGACACATTTCGTCTCTTGTCTGGGTCGCCCCACGATTTTCAGCTTACCTTGGATTTTTTTGTCCCTCCTACCGGGTGGCTGTTTATTTTTTTCTATCCTTCTGCCTAACTTATCTCCTTGCGCACCTTGCATACCTCGGAGTAGCCGCCCGGCGCGTCGCGCATACCAAAGGTTAATTAATCCCGCGTTGCGGTCAGAGCGCCTCTGACGAGCAGATCTACGCCTTGAGATACTTCTTACCGCGACGCCCGCGGCAGCGTGGAAGTTCCACATCTCCGGCGGTTGCACATAGCTTGCGGGTCTCACCCTCGCCCACACACGCACGCACATTCTCACACCATTTCTCCGCGCCGACCAAATCCTGAACGGGACGTTTTCCTTGGCTCAGATGTACCTCGACGGTCTAACGTCGACCCAGCAGTGCGTCTCGAAACTCTCAAGCCTAGCAGAACATGGCTACTGCCGCCGTAGTCTTACCCGCCGCGGCGGCGCCGCCGCCCCTTCTCTCGCTCCTTGACGGCCTGCCGCCGAGGAGACGAGAGCTGCAGCAATCGCGCCGGCGACGGAGGCCGGCGCAGGCAGACACACAACAGCGCGCGGACAGAAGTCTCTTCTCCGAAGCACTGCTGCGATGGCGCGTCGGCCAAGCGCTCAGCTCGGCGCGATTCCTCGCCGCCGCGCTCGCGCGCGAGCAGCAGCAGCAGCAGGACTCAGCGACAGCATGTCGAGCGGACGAGCGAAGCCCCATGGCAGGTTCTCCGCGCAACGACGAGCAGTCTTCTTCTCCTCCAGCCTACGAGGACACGCTCGACGACGCGCCGCCCGACTACACCTCGACCGACGCGCTGGCCACCGCCGCACAGACCGCCGCCCCTCCACCGCTCCCGCCGTACGGACCCCCGAGCGGTCCCCCGTCTTCGCACCCCCTGCTGCCGTTGTCGATCGAGTTGCTCGAGAAGGAAGCGCGGGTCGACTTGTCGAAGGTGGACAATATGCGCGAACATGCGAAGAAGAAGAACAAGAAGAAGCAGCCGGCGCAGAAGATGGCGTCCTGGGCGCAAAGCGACGACGAGGACAAGAAGAAGGACGACGGCGGCGGGGACAACGGCGGAGACGGGAACGAGGGCGGTGGTGATAACGGCGGCGGCGGAGATGCTGGAGGTGGAGGGGGTGGAGGCGATGATAATGGCGACAATGGGGACGACGGAGACGATTGGAACGAGGCCGGCGGCAAGAAGAACAAGAAGAAGAAGAAGGGCAAGAAAGCTGAGGAGGAAGAGGAGGAGGAGAAGAAGGCTGAAGAAGAAGAAGAGGAACAAGAGGCCGCTGCAGCACATACTTCTACCGGCTCCCCCTGGGATCTTCTGGCAACAGAACCTGGAGACGACGATGCCCCCGACGCGAATCCAGACGATGAATGGGCAGGCTTCACGCCCGCCACCTCGTCTAAGAAGAAGAAAAAGAAGGGCAAGGTAAGCCAGTTCTACAATTGAACCCCTCCTCTTCCACGGCGCCACTCCCGGCGCTATTTGACGTGGGTTTTGTCCGGGGAAAATCAGGGGAGGCGGTTTCGCGCTAAGATAGCTTACCAAATTGTGGCAACAGGACGCTGACTCTGTCCCTCCCCCACCTCCTCCCGGCCCCGCTGCTCCTGACAATGCTGCCAACGGCATGAACTTCGATAGCGTCGACCTGGGCGACGGCTCGGACGCCCCGAAGATCGACCTCAGCTTTGGCGGTGCGGATTCCAAGGCCGGTACCGGCGTTGGAGGAGGCACAGGCTTCAGCTGGGGTGCGACTAGTTGGGGCTTCTCGGCTGCGGATAAGAAAGATGACGCCGCTGCGAATGAGGCTGCCGACGCCAACAATGCCTGGAGCTTTGGAGGAGGTTCGAAGAAGCCCGATGCTGGGTTCAACTTCGGCTTCAGCCCTGCAGCAGAGGCACAAAAGGAGGGAGATGACTGGGGCTGGGGCACAGCGACGTCCAAGAAAGACAAGAAAAAGAAGAAGGGGGGTTTCGACCTTCTTGACGAGCCACAGCCACCGCCACCGCCGCCTGAACCCGAACCTCCGGCTGCTGCAGAGGTAGCAGCCGAAGACGAGTGGGGCGGTTGGGGGACCAAGAAGGATAAGAAGAAGAAAAAGGGCAAAGGTGACCCTGAGCCTGAGCCTGAACCGGAGCCCGTCGTTGTCCCCGAACCAGAACCAGTACCCGAGCCAGCAGCCCCTGCTGAAGCCGCGGCGGAGGACGAATGGGGCGGATGGGGAGCAGTTTCTTCGAAGAAGGATAAGAAAAAGAAGAAGAAGAATGCGGAACCCGAGCCGGAGCCCGAACCCATGCCACCACCACCTCCGCCTCCGCCCCCTGAGCCCGAACCTGCTGCCGAAGATGGCTGGGGTGGGTGGGGAACGGCCAGTTCGAAGAAGGATAAGAAAAAGAAGAAGAAGGGCGAGCCCGACCCACCCCTGGATGAGCCCGCTGTTGTCATCGTTCCTGACGATGATATCGCGGCGCCTACTGCCGCGGTTGACGTAGCAGCCGAAGACGAGTGGGGCGCTTGGGGGACGAAGAAGGACAAGAAGAAGAAGAAGGGGGCCGCGGCTGCTGATGATTTGCCATCACCACCGCCTCCGCCGCCGGTGGTTGTTGTTCCCGAGTTCGTACAGCCCGTACAAGAGGATAATGATTGGAGCTTTTCCTGGGGAAACAGCGCAAAGGATAAGAAAAAGAAAAAGAAAGGTCTGTTGGCAGAAAGCGCACCTCCCCCTCCTCCGCCCGAGCCCGAGCCACCTGTTGCCGAAGTCCAGCAGCCCGACGCTGTTGATGAGCCGAAGGCCGATGGCGACGATGGCTGGGGCTGGGGCGTCGGAAAGAAAGACAAGCCGAAGAAGGAGTCGCAGAACGGTCCAGTGGAGGTTGTTGGCGACGATCCAACAGCCGCAGTCCAGCAGCCTGACGGCATCGTTGAGGGCGGCGCCGCAGAGTCCGAGGGGTGGGGTAGTTTCAGTTGGGGCACAGGCAAGAAGGAAAAGAAAAAGAAGAAGGGCGCTGCGCCGTTCGACTTTCCACCAGCGCCTACGCCTCCGGAGGAGGCTATGCCCGCCCTGATTGAACCCCCGCCTCCTCCGCCTCCTCCCGCGCCCCTCGCGATCGAGGCGCCGCCTGCGGACGATGGTTCCGCGTGGGCTGCTGTGACCACGGGCAAGAAAGGCAAAAAGGGAAAGAAGAGTAAGCTAACTGAACAAGGCACCGCGCAATCGCCGCCTCCTGTAGAAGTCATCAATGTCGACGCCGAAGGCAACCCCGACGATATCGTCCAGATCATCGACGAAGGCGCACCGCCCGAGCCCGCATTCGAACCAGAACCTGAAGTCGTCCCCGAGTCTGATCCTGAACCCATCGTTGTCGTCGAAGAGCCGCCCCCACCGCCGCCGCCCGCGCCCGAGCTGGAAAAGAAAGAGAAGAAGGAGAGCAAGAGCTCTTCAGGAGGATGGGGAGGTCTGTTCGGCTCAAACTCCACTGACAAGAAGAAGACTAAGAAAGAGGTGGAGAAAGAGAAGAAAGAGAAGGAAAAGCAGGAGAAGAAGGAGGCTAAAGAGCGCGAGGAAAAGGAGCGGCTTGAGAAGGAAGAAGCAGAGCGCGTTGCAAAGGAGGCGGAGGAGCTCGCAGCAGCAGAGGCTGAGGCTGAGGCTGAGGCTGAGGCTGCGGCTGCGGCTGCGGCTGAGGCTGCAAGAGCCGCGGAAGAGGCCGAAGCTGCTGCAAAAGCTGCAGAATTCGATCCAAACGAGATTGTCGAAATCGTGGACGAGGGGCCGCCGCCTAAGAAGGACAAGAAGAAAAAGAAGAAGGGCAAGGCTGTCGAAGAAGAGTCCCCTCCACCTCCTCCACCACCACCACCTCCTGCACCTGAAGAACCCGCCCCAGAGCCTGAACCTGAACCTGTGCCTGAGGTTGTGCCCGAGCCGGTCGTTGTTCCCGACCCCACGCCTGCCGCAACAAGCACGTGGGGTGGCTTTTGGGGTGTCTCACTCAGAAAAACCAAAAGCCCGGTCGCAAAGGACCTCGTGGCACACGACGCTATTCCGAATGAGGAAACGGCAGCTGACCCCGCGGTTCTCGAGGCTGAAGTGCCACCACCACCGCGTGAGCCTTCGCCTCCGCCCTCTGGAAAATTAAAAAAGACGAAGAAGGGCGGAAAAGTTCAAGATCGCCTCAAGGCGTTCGAAGCCTTTGACGAGCCGCCACCTCCGCCCCCCGCGCCTGAGTTTCCTGCGGAGCCCGAGCCAGTCGTCGTCGTCGACGTGCCCGAACCCGAACCGCTGCCTGCTGACGCGCCGCCTGCGGAAGAGGTCGCGCCACCACCGCCGCCACCGGTCGAAATCGTAGAACCTCCGCTCTCGTCGCATAAAAAGTCGTCCAAGGACAAGAAGGCAGACAAGAAATCCTCTTCGAAGTCGAAGAAGAGCAGCAGTAAAGAAAAGGAACCTGAACCCGCGCCTATTCCCGAGCCTGTCGTCGTTCCGGAGCCTGACCCGATCGTCGACGTTCCCGACGTCCACTCTCCAGTGCCCGGCAGCTTCCCTGAAGACGAGCCGCTGTTCGAGATTGTTTCTCCACCACCACCTCCGCCTCCACCACCGGCGCCTATTGAACCCGACTTTGTGCCTGCTGAAGTTGAGCCTGCCTTTGTTGTACCAGCGCCTGCGCCGCCGACCGACAAGAAGAGCAAAAAGGACAAGGACAAGAAGAAGAGCAAGAGCAAGAGTAGCTCGTCAAGCCGGAGTCTTTTTGGGGAGGTCCCCATGGATATTCCACCGCCGCCGCCGCCAATGCCTGACCCTATCGTCATGCCTGATGCGCCCCCGATGCCTGAGCCTCTTGCTATGCCCGAGCCGCCCCCAATGCCGGAGCCTCCTGTTATGCCCGAGCCACCTCTCGTTGATGTCGTACCTGATGATGCGCCACCGTTTGAAGAGCCCATAAAGCCTCCAACTCCTCCGCCTGAGCCGCGAAAGGAGCGCCCGAAGGTCGTGCGCGACAAGAACGCTGCGACCTCTTGGGGTTTCTGGGGTGTGTCGCCGCAGAGCAAAGACACGCGCAAGAAGACGCGCGACGATACTGCAAAGGAGAGACCTGGGCTCGTGCGGTCCAAGTCTGAACGGCACTCATCGCGGCGTGATCGGGAGAAAGACAAGGAGCGGGACGAAGGCAAGGACTCGAAGTCATCTGGTTCGGGCGAGCACACTTCAAAGACACCTTCTTCGAGACCGCGGCACCAGCGCGGCTCGAGCTTTGGTGGACTATTTGGCATGGCTATGGCTCCTCCGCCTTCGAGGTCAAAGTCGATGCGCGAACCCAGGACATCCAAGTCGCGCTCGCGTCACCCTTCTGTTGAAAGGGACGGCGGGTTGATGTCGCCACCGCCTGAGGACGACGCGGTCAGATTCTCGTCAAAGGCTGCGAAGATGATGGGCATGGACACGGAGCGGGGGCGGGACAGGGTCACTCGACGCCAGACCACAAGGGAGCATCGCAAAACAAGAGCAGCGCCAGACCCTTATGCCATCGAAGACGATGATTTGGTCATGGTCAACGGAGAGGATGCCCCTGCGCCAGGCTCAGACCCGTCAAGGCGGCGCAAGCACAAGTCGCGTAGCGTTGACCCTGCAATGGACGAAGATCCAGTCATCGTGGAAGCTGCCGCCGCCATCCCTGACGATGTGCCCGAGGTCGTGACCGGCCCCGACGACATGGCGTTTGTCGAGAAGCCTAGACGCTCAGGACCCCGCCGCGAGAGACGCGAGCACCCAGAAAGCCCGCCGAAGAAGACCGGGCTTATGGGCATGCTCGGGCTCGGCTCGAAGAAGAAAGACGTCGTCTCTGACTACGAAGAACGCCGCCACCGCAGCACCCGCACCGGCGACGAGGAGCGCAGGCGTAAGCGGTCTTCCGCGCGCAATGCGGACGAGGATTACGCGAAGCGTCTGCGTCGGGAAGGCCGCAAGATTCGCTCACGTCATCCCTCGGATGACGGTGCTCCGGAGCCACCTGCTGATGTGATCGTCGATGGCGCCATGCCTCCAATGATGGACGGCGCTGGCCCCATCGACGTCGATGCGGAGCGTGAGGCTAGGAGAGCGGAGAGGCGTGCGAAGCGTGCGGAGCGCGAGGCCCGCGAGATCGAAGAAGAGGAGGCTAAGGCGGCGCGCCGTCGCGAGCGCAAGCGCGCTGGAGACAAGCAAGAGGAGCGCAAGCTCCGCGAGCGCGAGGCCAAGGCCAACCGTCTGCGGGAAGAGCAGGAGCGCGAAGAGAGGCGGAATGAGGAGAAGCGTCAACGCCGTGCCGAGAGGGAGGCGCGCAAGGCTGCGGAGCGCGCCGAGATGGAGCAGGACCTCGAGGCCAAGGAGGCCGAGCGTGCTGAACGCCGTGCCCGCCGCCGCGAGCGTGGTGGTGATGTCGAGCAGCCGCCGTCTCGCCACCATAGCTCTCATCGGCCAACTATCCCGGGCGAGCGCCGTCGCTCTCACAGGACCTCCGCCGTCCCCGCCGCGGGCGAGGATGATTCAGAGCGTCGGCGCCGCCACGAAGAGCGCAGAGCTCGCCGGGCAGCTGAGAGTGGTGGCGGTCGCACACCTGGCAAGTCTTCACGATCTCGCGGCGACCATCACCAGCAGACGCCGCCCATCGTCGACCACCATTTCGACGCAGCACATTACTACGACTTCGATCCTGCTGCCGCTGCCGGCGCCATGCCGCCCCAGCCACCACCACCACCACCACCTGCTGCCGACTACCCGTCGCATTCCAACCACGGCAGCGACAAGACACGCTCTTGGGTCGACCAGATCGCCGCCGACCCGCCAGACCTGCCGCCCGTCGCAGCTACCATCCTCGACCCCCCGCCGCCCATGGACCCGGCCGCTGCCGCGGCGGCCGCGTTCGACCCGCTCGAGGAAGAGGCGCGGCGGGAGCGTAGGAGCAGGGCGAAGCGGGACTCGAAGATGATGGACGATGACGGTGGTGAGAGGAGGAGGAGGCGGAGGAAGGAAGGTGAAGGTGGTGGTGGGATAAGGAGTAGTGATGGGAGCGGGGATGGGGGGAGGAGTAGGCGCAGGACGACGACGACGATGAAGGAGCCGGCGGCATTGTTTGGGGAGGATCCAATGATGGCCGCCGGGGGTGGGATGAGGACGTGGGATGGGCGGCCGGTGGAGAGGCCGAAGCAGGAGAGGAGGGGGAGTAGTTGGTTGAAGAATTTGAAGACGGTGTTTTGAGGTGATGGTGGTGGCTTTTTTTGCATATCGGACGGACGGATGGATAAGAACGGCGAGCATATATGCATGGGGATCGGGGTTTGCATGATCAGGGGTATGGGGAGCATTGCTTTCTTTTCCTTTTTTTTTTTTTCATGGCTTCTCTTCTGGTTTTTATCTCTCTCTTTTCAGACCTACCGGCCTGGAAGGATGCTACGGTGGGCTGGATGGGCAACGAATTTTCTACGGCCGGGATGGTGGGTGGGAGTTGAGCTGGCAGACCGGTGGAGTGGGTTCTGAGAGCCAAGTCATCGGCTCTGCGTGTTCGGTTCTTCTTCTCTTTTCCCCCTTCTCTCTCCATCTTCGCGGGGTGACGGTCATCATGAGCGTGCGTTTTATGAAGAGACGATATGATGATACCCTGGAACGATATGTATGTATGTAGCTATTGGCTCGGTTTTCCGAAGATGAATGCGTCAAGAATGATCAAGATCTACTCTCAGCTTTTATCATCGCTCTCTTGAAACGTTGTTCTGCAAGGTGATTTTGTCTGTAGGCGTGTAACATGTTTGCCTCAGGCACCGTGGCTTGGCGCGGTCAATGCTTCCTCTTGCGCTCGGCCGGAGAAAATGGCGGAAGTGACATATTGGCCGGCCAGCCCCAGCCCGCTGACTCTCAGAGAGCTCCCACTTGCCGCGTTCTTCCAGCAACCCCAATTCCTCAACAACCCCTCTCTCCGCCATCACCTCCAATCCTCCTCCTCGCCGCCCAGAACAAAGGCAATCGCCATGGCACCCGCCGCCGGGCTGATCCGCTCAGCCGCCGCCCCGGGCGTGGCTCGCGCTCTGCGCGCCGCCTCTTCTGCCGTCCGCCCGCAACCACCACGCGCCCTCGCCGCTGCTGCCGCCGCCGCGTCCTCTCGCAGCTTCACGAACTTCCCTCAGTCCTCGTCGTCGGCCAACGGCTCGCAGCCGAGCATCTTCGGCTTGCCTGCGGGCTCGAGCATGGGCGGCGGCTCGACGCCGACGTCGTACTTCCAGCGGCCGTCGCTGCCGGCCAACACGATCGTGCGGTTCGTGCCGCAGCAGACGGCGTGGATCGTGGAGCGCATGGGCAAGTTCAACCGGATACTGCAACCGGGACTGGCCATCTTGATCCCGTTCCTGGACCGGATAGCGTACGTCAAGAGCTTGAAGGAGGCGGCCATCGAGATCCCCAGCCAGAGTGCTATTACTGCGGATAACGTGACGTTGGAGCTGGATGGCGTGTTGTATACGCGCGTGTTTGACGCGTATAAGGCTAGGTGAGTGTTTTTTTTTCTCTTCTCCCCATCACTTGTTTGGGGGGGCAATTGGCATTTTGGGATTGTGGGTTAACGGGGGTTTGGGATAGTTACGGAGTCGAGGACGCCGAGTACGCCATCTCGCAGCTAGCGCAGACGACGATGCGATCGGAAATCGGGCAGCTGACGCTGGACCACGTGCTGAAGGAGCGGGCGAACCTGAACGCCAACATCACGGCGGCGATCAACGAGGCGGCGCAGGACTGGGGCGTGACGTGCCTGCGGTACGAGATCCGCGACATCCACGCGCCCGGTCCCGTGGTGGAGGCGATGCACCGGCAGGTGACGGCGGAGCGCAGCAAGCGGGCGGAGATTCTCGAGTCGGAGGGCCAGCGGCAGAGCGCCATCAACATCGCCGAGGGCCGCAAGCAGAGCGTCATCCTGGCGTCGGAGGCGCTCAAGGCGGAGCAGATCAACATGGCGAGCGGTGAGGCGGAGGCGATCCTGCTCAAGGCGAAGGCGACGGCAGCTGGTATTGATGCCGTGGCGCGGTCCATCGAGCAGGGCAAGCACAACGCGCAGAGCGCCGTCAGCCTCAAGGTCGCTGAGCAGTACGTCGACGCCTTCGCTAAGCTGGCCAAGGAGGGCACGTCGGTCGTTGTGCCTGGCAACGTGGGCGACATCGGCGGCATGATCGCTACGGCCATGTCGGTGTACGGCAAGGTGTCGGAGGGCCAGGCGAAGAACGCGGCGGCCAAGCTGCTGGGTTCGGGCGAGCAGAGGCAGCACTACGAGTCGCCTGCATCGGAGCGCGCGAAGGAGATCGAGAGGGAGGCACAGGAGCTGGGGGAGCAGGCTGATGATGTGCAGAAGAGCGTGTTGGAGAGCTTCGAGAACACGACGCAGAAGAGGTAAACTCCCTGATGACAGAACGATGAGGAGGGAAAGGGAGTGATATTGTAAGCTTTAAAGGAGGACTTCTTCTCTTCTTAGGTGGAGGATATTGCGGGCCATGTGGGATAGCGACTGGAGCGACGGCATTCGCTTCAGGAGCACGCTGCTGGCAGGAGATATGGACATTATGGCGACGATGGATTAGTCTGGCGGATGCTAGGGAACACGACGCAAAAAAGCAGAATGGTGGATTGACGGATGGACGGACGGGCACCACACACACCACATCGAACCAGCATGGCGTTACGAAAAAAGGGAGTCGTTGTACATGTATAGTATTAGGGGTGACTCTTCACTTTTCTTGTTGTTGGATTCTCTAAACGCTACTCTCACGGATATGGATGGAAAAGCAGACGAATAGGGGAGGAATAAAGTCACCCACTCTTCCCATTGGCTGTAGGCATTTTTTTCGCCTCTCTAGCGGTGGTGGCATGATAAGGTGAGAGATGAGTGGTAGTGTTCTTGGGAGAGTAGCTGCCTCGTGATGCCCAACGAATTGGAAGAGAAGCCATCCTTACGCGCGGTTGCCGATCAGAGGGCTTGCATGTGGGTCGGGCCCATATGCGGGGACCGGACTCTTCTGCGCGCTTGTGAGGGTAAGGGGAAAAGGTGATCAGTAGCCCGAGAAGAATCACGAATGGGAGCTTTTTCGGGGGCGGCGGACGCCAATGGGTTTATTCTTGCTTTAGCACCGGGACTAGCGGGCTGCAGGTTGGGTGGAGTTCTTTCCACGTAGGCTCCACTTTGTTGGTCTGCTGCTCACTTGCCTGATTACTACTGTTTTCTCCGGTGCGCAGCGGCCAGCCAGGCAGGCGAATTCCAGCCACCGTGATTTAAAGGCAACTGGTGTCGCCCCCCGGAGTGGGAACGTGCAGAGGAGGGAGGCGAGGTACAAAAAAAATATTTGACCGGTCAAAAGGTTCCATGTCAGCTTTCTTCTTCTTCCTCTTCAGCCTGACGATTCGGACTTGAAGAAAGCCCTTTTGCGACGTGTGCCACGGGAAGAGAAGACGTGTGGGCCCGGAAACGGAGGCGGATACGGCAGTGAGACGAGAGAGCGAGAGAGAAAAAAGAGGAAGAGCAGAGCAGAGCAGAGAGATTATAAAAGGGCCAGGCGGGAAGAAAGAATGGTCGACGTTTACGACGTCCGCCGGAGGTGCGCTCAAGCCGCAGCGCTCGCCGACGCCGCAACCCAAGCACTGCCTCGACCCTCGCAGCAGTACCACCAGCAGGTCCAGCAACAGCGGCTGCACCGCTCCACCTCGGCGCCGCAGCAGTACTACCAGCACCAGGCCCCTTCTTCCCGCTCGCTGCCGCAGCCTAGCAGCAGCCAGCAGCAGCAGCAAGGAGGAGGAGCACAACAGCCAGGGCAATCGCCCCCGCAGCAGCAGTACACCTACCAGCAGCACCAGCAGCACCGCGCGAACCTGCTCCGTTCGAACAGCGTCACCAACGGCAGCGGTGCCGGTAACAGCAGCTACGTCAACGGCGCCTTTTCGACCCCGCTCCGCGCCGACAACACGTTCCTGAACATGACCAACACGACGCAGAGCTACCCGCTGCACATCAAGGGCGTGCCCTACGCCACCACGTCGCGCCTGCAGACGCTGGATATTTGCTTGCCGCGTCCGCTGAGCGAGAGCCCGAAGGATGCCGTTTGGGTCGTGTGAGTGCTTTTTTTTTTCTTTTCTATTTTCGTTCGTTTGAAGTTTTTTTTTTTTTTTTACTTTTTTTTGAGACTGCGGGGTTGCTCTTGAGTTTCTGCAGGGTGCGGCGGGTTGGCCCGGTTGGCTGAGTTGTGCGTCTCACTGCTCCCGCTTCCGCTTCCGCTTCCGCGTGGCTGCTGCACGACACCATTTTGCATTTTACCCCCCTCATTTGATTTAGCGTGGTTGAGCGTTGGGCGTTCTGTTTACTCGGTAAACAATTTCTGCGGGGATTGTTTCCATGGCCGAATTCCTTCTTTTCGTCACGCTGCAGGAGCTGGGGCACAAAGCTGAAGAGGACGGCTATGGATTGAGCTGCTCGGAGAGAAAGGCCTAAAAGCTCCCCTGCATAATCGCACCTGTCAACAGCGCCACTTTTCTTAGTCCTTTCTTTTCAACCTCAAAACCAACACCAGACTAACCGTCCCTCCCAGCTACATCCACGGCGGCGCCTGGCGCGACCCCCTCGTCAGCTCGGCCTCCTTGACGCCCGCCGTCCACCACCTCCTCTCCTACACCCCCACCTCAGCCGCCTCCTCCCCCGGCGGCAGCATCACCAGCACCACCTCCACCTCATCCAGCAGCAGGCGCACCCTCTCGCACATCGCCGGCTTCGCCTCCATCAACTACCGCCTCAGCCCCTACCCGCAGCACCCGACCGCCCCCTCGCTGTCCCCCACCACCAGCATCCCCGCCCGCCACGAGGGCCGCAACGTCACGCACCCCTCGCACGTCTCCGACACCGCCGCCGCCATGCGCTGGCTGCGCGCCGAGTATGGCGTCGGCGGCGAGTCTGGCCCGGACGGCCCTCCCGCGCGCGACTGGGTCGTCGTCGGGCACAGCTGCGGCGCGACGCTGGCGTGCCAGCTCGTGGCGGACGGCTGGCTCGACGGCAGCGAGTTCGACAAGGTGGCGGCGCCGGTCGGCATCGTCGGCCTGTGCGGCCTGTACAACCTGCCGCTCCTCGCCGAGAACCACGCCGACTGCCCGGCCTACGAGGAGTTCTTGCAGGCCGCCTTCGGCGGCGACGAGAGCGTCTGGCTCCGCGCCAGCCCGACGCAGCTGGCGCAGAAGCTCGGCGAGGACAGGTGGCAGAAGGGACGGTGTGTGGTCCTGGCGAGCAGTCCGGATGATGAGCTGGTCGAGGCGATGCAGAGGGATGTCATGGTCAGGGCGTTGGAGGAGAGGGGGTGGGTCAGGCGGGAGGAAGGGGGCGGCCCGGATGGGAGGGAGCTGGTGCTGGTCGAGTTGGATGGCAGGCACGATGATGCGTGGAGGGAGGGCAGGAGCGTCGCGAAGACGATTGAGGTCGTTATTGGGAGGTTGTTTGAGACGACGCCGAAGGAGGGGGGGTTCTTTTGAGGGGTTGAGGGGTTGAAGTTTTGTGCGTTTTTTTTTCTTGAATGATGGATGGATGAGTGAATGAATGCATGAGTGGGGCTTTTTTATGAATCATGTGAATCATGTGGCGTAGGGTAGATAGGGGAGGGTGTGGCCTTTTTTACATATATAAGAGAGCGCTGAGAGCGCGGAGATTCTGAGAGATTGCATTCACTTTTTCTGAGATGTTTCAACGACTTCCAAGAAAGGTAATACTTGCGTTGCTTAAGGAGCAGACAACGAATGACAACTTCCGTTCTGTCGTCCTGTTTTTGCTTGTTGAACTTGCCGATGGCCTCGTTTTTGCTCTCTCTGTCCTTTCGTGCTCATCATCAGCATCGGAATCTGTCGATGATGAAGTTCAGAACTGCTTTGAGATGCTGTGCAGCATCTTTTCGATATTTCAGTGGCAAGCAGAGGGGCATACAGGTTTCCGGACACTAAAGGGACGAGCCCGAGCGGCCAGTCAAAGTTGAAATGTCTGTGGCTTGGTGTAGGCATCGCAGCTCGCCAGTATCTTTCTGAGTCTGTACTGCTTTAAGCTGCTTCGCCTTCTCGCTTCTCATTCTTCGTGCAATAGGGCTTTTTAAAGGGTGAGGTTTCAGGCAGAAGTAAGTGTCACGCTCCAAGCTTTCAGTCGGGCACTGGGTCCACGTGCTTGCCGCAAGGCACCATTTAGAATCACGAAGGTCAGGTGGAGGCTGCGCCCGAATGCGGCTGAGGGGCAGATGGCCTGCTAGCGTGAGGAGAAGTGGCGGTTTTCTATATAAGAAGCGCTGCGGTTGAGCATGGAAAACTGTCAATGGCGTTTGCTTGTTGCACGATGATGTCTACCGCGAACGATTACTGAGCTACTTTGTTCCCTTTGTTTTCTCTTTCTCTCGTCTCCTTTTGTCGCCATGTTCTCTTTCTACTGCTTTATATGGATGGATGGTCTACTCTCGATTCCCCTCATCACTTCGCGCTGTCTGCCGTGAGCCTCGCCGAATCTTGATGGTAAACAGCATGATTGATTCGAGATGCTGCATAACACCACAGCAGATCTCGGTGACGAAACCCGACCCCACAGGCTCTGAGACAGAATAGAGTTGTGGCTGAACGACATCCAGCAACGAGTGATGCGTCATTCATGGTCCCCAAAGCAGTGAACGATTTGCCGTATGATGGTCTCGCCGCCTTCAGAACAATTTCTGGTTTCGAAACTTTTTGGGCCACTGGCAGCCTTTATAAGGGGAGCCGTTGAGGCTCATTTAGCGTGGTCTTGTGCCTCTCCAAAAGCTATGACCGTCATCACGGAGCGATCTGCCGGGTGAGCTCGCGTGCGGCTGCGGGAAAAGCGTGCATTGCGTTAGGCAGCCGCAGGATGTTGAAATGGTCGACTCCCGTGAGCTGCCGGACGCTTGTGGGTGCTACCAGCTTGGAGTATAAATTCAGCTTCAACGGAGCAATGTATCAAGACGCAAAGCAATGCTATCTAGTGGCTCGCTAGGGGAATACTTAGGATACGCATACACTGCGCTCTCTTTGGTGTTGTCCGAGTGACCAAGAAGACCAACACACTGCCTCCTGCCGCCGTCCTCACCGATGTTCGTATCTTTCGTCACACTCTTGTTGCCTTTCTCCATCATATACTCTTGATGCCCACCAGCATCGCGATAGACCTGCGCAGCCTGTTCTTGGTGTGAAACACGGCAAGGATGAGGGAACTCAGAGGAACCACGAGTAAGAAACTAGCAGCTACAACAGCAATGCAAAGCATGGCACAAGGCCGCAAAGTTAGCAGATGATGTTTCCGTGAGAATCCCATCGACGCTCTTGCCGTATTGCAGTGGTTAGATTGGGCGTGAGCAGTAGCTATAAGCTTGCTCCGCGGAGTGAGGAAACGATGGCAGCTGAGCGAGCACAGGCTGATCTGGTGATAGCGGTAGGGTATAGAGGCACTGGGGGCTTCTAGATTGACATGTGATAATGGCGGAATGTTCGGCGTATGAGTGGGCGTTGTCAGCTGCCATGCAGGAAAGAGACCTTTGGTGATGTCGGCGGAGGCGTTGTCTCCTGTTTGGCTCTCGAGGACGCTTGCGCAGGTGCCTATAAAAACAACCAAGAATGTGAGTATCTTTGGCCATTGCAAGAGATAAAGTTCCTACACCAGTCACCCATTGAATTGTCCAGAATCACCCGAAACTTTCCGCTTTCTTTGTAATTGCATTACCGCAAGGTAAATGTGTGGCTCCGAGAAGTACAGGTGAGGCGTTCAAGTTACACTTCTGTTCCCCATCAGTATTGGAAACTGCTAGTTCTCATCATAAATTGAAGTGTATGCATAGAAGGTAGATCATCAAAGGACATTTCCCTGCAAAGACGGTTGTATAGCTGTTGGGATAATTCGTTTGTGGTTCACTAACCTTCCTGACACCAAAAGTGAGCCTAGACTACTGCCTTCTGAAAAGATGATTTTGATTGTATGCGATGAAATTCCGAAGTGAGATGTCCAAGAATTTCTTGTATAAATCTAACCGTAAGAGGTGTGCGCACCGACAGAAGTTCCCTGCAGCTAACGGCTGAGACATCATTCGTGCTTATGCAAATAGTTACGCGCGGAGTTTACCAGGTCAGCAGGGGCCTACCGCCATGGAGCCGCATGATACTGGCTGGAAAAATTGTATGTATAACTAGAACTCAAAACCAGCATTCCCTCGAGACACGAGAGCAGCAGTATGTTATGATTGCCGAGAGGAGAGGGAAGTAGGATTTCTGTCGTTAGACAGCTACTCAACTGGCTTTTCCCGTCCTCCCCCCACCACACACACTTCTTTGAGCTGAATGCCACGGTATCCGCCATCAAAACCGGTTTTCCCTTTTGAACTCCGTGCCCCAGCATCAAAATGATATGCTTGAATCTATCATCTGGACAAAATGTTGAGATTCACCACCGTTGGTCGAAGATATGAGCATTATTAACAAGGCAGTAGTCCCAGTACATCAAGGCTTTGAGCCTGGAAGACGAGTAGCGTGTCCATGTTGAGTCTTTCAAGCACGTCTATCAGGCAAGCCGTTGTTTCATACGAATTCACGACTGAATGAGGGTGGCTCTATGTTCGAGCGTGCTGGAAATTCTTGGTCAGCGTTATTGCTCACAGCCTGGGCGCAATGAACAAGTACCATCAAATGGCGGATCATCCATGTGTTTGTGCAACACTCTGCTACAGATGAATTCACTCTGAATCGTGAAATATGCCGCATTGTCTCCACAGATAATTGAACCGTTTTCAGGTGGGTATGAAATTTCGGAGCTACACGATGAGATCACGGCGTAGATTTCAAATATCTCTCTGCCGAAAAGGATTTGGGAGGGCTTAATGTTCTCACAACTCACTGTAGCGTCAACTGGGAATATTGGTAGGTTCATGCAAAACCGTGCAAGTTGCAAAACAGGCACTGTAGGCTACCAAAGAAATGATCTTGTGCAACATATTTTGTGAGGAATTACACGCGGCTTACGTAGGTTGGACAAGCTCTCGTCGGGATATTCTTGTGCAGTTATTTGTTCGAGATCTGCGCCGGGAAGATTGCCTATAGCACGATTCATGTGCTGTTGAGGATGGGATCAGATATCTGGGATCTCCCCGACCACAAATATGCAGGTGATGACAAGCGGTCATCTGAAAATATCATGTGCAATGAAATTCAAGATTGTCTGGGACAGGTTGACTATCTAGGCATATCGTCAATGCTCTCTACATTCTCTTATAACTCACCGTCTCAGACAATCTGTGTCTTCAAGCATAGTGAGGTTTGTAGAAAACAGGTTCATCGACAGTTTCACTCTTGTTCCTGCTTCTGTTTCGCAAAATGTGGACAAAGCCTCGAAATGTGCGCTAGAGCGGCTCGGCAACTTTGGAAACCGCAGTCAGCATTCATTAACATTGCTGATGATCCACTTCTTTCCATATTAAATTACGAAATCATGATGCAGCAGCCTACCTACTCCTACATCGCCTATGAACTGTTGATGCAATCGTTAAGGACTGGAAATGACCGCAACAAGCACGGCAGTATTACAGCATTCCTTATTGTGAGATTCTGGTTGAGCTGGCCAAGTGGTGAGTACAAAGATCTCCCTCTGCAAGTCCTGTAAAACTTTTTATACTACAAACTTCTGCGAAGTACTTAGTATTTTCCCATGTGAAGTGTGGTTGGGAGACGTTCGGGACAGCTCACCTGATGCAGGAGTGAATTTGTGGATAAAAGACTAGACAATCCATCTCTTTGGGCCGCATTGCTAAAGCCAGAGCGCTTGATCCTTAAGCAGAGAGGTTGACATCCACTTTACTCGCTGTGTCTGTCGCTGTAGTCTGTTGGGAAAACAATTCTGTTCTTAAACTAAGCTTGCGAAAAATATTTGGTTCTGAGAAGCTATTAATGCGGATTTATATCATGAACACTTCATGCAGACGAGCAGCATCAACAATTCAGGCTGATCCTCACTACGTGCAGATCATGTACATTCCCTGAAACTCTTTCAGACATAGAATCACTTCAGGCACAGTACAAATGTTCTGACTGGAAAAGAGCGAAAAAAAAAGGTTGCTTTCGAGGTTTGTTGCCCAGACATGGGTATTATTTCGTGATATCTTGTGGTGCTAGTAGCTTTGCTCATCTTTAAATACACCCACCACTTCCCGGAAGTCCTTGCGCATTGCAACACGCACGGGAACGCGGTGGGTCATACGTCCCCTTCACTTGGCCCTCCGCCCACCTGCCAGGATGTAGCCAAGGGGCTTCCCACTGCGCTTTTAAAAGCTCGCCGGATGCTGATGATCCATGGTTTGCAGACAACATGGAGGATCTTATGTTTCTGCATCGACAAGTTTTCACCGATTACTCTTTCTTTGCCTTCTGCTGGGCGCCACATACCACTCCCCTCTCCAGCCCTTTCACACAGCACAAAGCAGCACTTCCCCCTCACAGCCTTCCGCAACGACCGATACACGTCATCCTCATCATCACTACCTAACGATGCAGACCACTATAATCACCCACAGACCCCGCCCCGTCCTCCATCTATACAACCTTGGCTCCAAGCCGAGATGGAGACGCTCTGCTGGGGGAAGGCAAGAGTGATTGGTTGGAGTATGCGTATTCGAGTTTTCTTGAAGCAGTCCGAAGCGCATAGTTCAAGCAAAGATGGGCTCAGAGGCTTTATATATGGCCTCCAATCCTTGAGTACAGATGGCCGTCTTGTGATTCCTCCCCCCTCCCCCCTTGATACATGCAGGGCCTGCCGATGGTGGCGAGTCATCTGAGTCCGAGTGGCACTAAGCTGCAGCACCCTGCTGCCTACCCGCAACACCGAGATGGTGACCGCTGCGAAGCATGCTCGGATGTAAGACTCGGCTGACGTAACCGTGGCTTGCGGCGTTTCTTCACTATCTTAGGGATGGGATCTTCCGTCTCAGAACGAGCAGTTAATCGTTCACACCAACATATACACACATGATGTTCAAAGTATTGTGGCATAGATCATTCTCGTTTCAATTTTTTCATGCTGTTCTTATAGTTGACGCAACCAGTGACGCCATTGCTCGGAAGAGGCAGCGTCCTGGGTATAAGCATTCAACCTCATTCCAAACTCCAGCAATCTCACCAGAAGACTCTCTTGAACCACGACTCCGCAAGAAGACCCCAGAGCAAGTGAATTCGTTTAACCCTTAGCGGCACCAGCCTTGATGAGGAGGATGTCTCCGTCCTCGACGACGTAGTCCTTACCCTTGGTCATAATCTTACCCTGGGCCTTGACTGTCGCTTCATCACCAAGCTCCTTGAGCACGTTGTAGTTGTACACAATGGCCTGAATGAAAGTCTTCTCGAAATCTGTACTCATTGTTAGCGTCATTCTCTTGTTTTGTAAGAGCTGGAGGTTCCTTACCAGTGTGAATGACACCGGCAGCCTGTGGTGCCTTGGTGCCGACACGGATGGTCCATTGCCTGACCTCATCCTCACCAGTGGTGAAGAACGAGGCAAGGTTGAGGGCCTTGCGCATGGTGATGATAGCCTTGGGAAGCGCAGACTGGACGCCAAGCTTCTTGCACTCCTCCTCAGCTTCGGCCTCAGTCTCGAAACGACTAAGGCGCTCTTCCAAGCAGATGGAGATGGGAATGATAGGGTCGCCCTCGGCGTGCTCCTTGACCCACTCAGCGATCTTGGGAAGGTGCTTGTTCTTCTTACGGATGTAATCCCTCTCGCTAAGGTTGACGAGGAAGACAACGGGCTTAGCGGTAAGAAGGAAAAGGGTGTTGATGACCTCAACCTATGAGAGCATTAGCATTGCTCAACATCATATTCAGAAAGTTGTGAAGGTGATGTTTAAGTGCAAAATCAGACGGGACTTCTTCTCAGTAAGACCTCTAAGCGTTGTATATTTGGTGAGGCTTTCGAAGAGCTGGGTGTATATTCGGGCTGAGCCCTTTGTCATCATTAAAGCGGGGAGGATGTGTGAGGCAGCAATAAAAAGACAAGAACCTACCTCCTTGGGGGACCAGGTGCCCTTGCGGACATCCTTGCCAGCCTTGAGGTGCTCAAGAATCTTCTCGACGGTGGCCTGCTCCTCCTTGAGCTTCTTCATCTCAAGGCTCTGGCCACCTCTCCTGGTCTGCTTGACGTAGTTCTCGTGGGCCTTCTCGACGAACTCGATATCCTTGATGCGCAGCTCCTCGCTGATGATGTCCAAATCACGGGCGGGGTCGACGTCACCCTCGACGTGAATAATCTCAGCATCGTCGAAGCAACGAACGACCTGGAAGATGGCATCGACAGCACGAATGTGCGACAAGAAAGCGTTGCCGAGACCGGCACCAGTCGAAGCACCACGGGTAAGACCAGCGATATCGTAGATGGTCAAGTGGGCGGGGACCTCGGACTTGGGCTTGTACTGCTTGCACAGCCAGTCGAAGCGCTCGTCGGGGACGAGGACGCGCGACTCCTCAGGGTCGATGGTAGCATAGGGGAAGTTGGCCGGGTTACCGAGGGAGCACTTGGTAATGGCCTGGAAGAGCGTGGACTTGCCGACGTTGGCGAGACCGACCTGAGATCACTGTCAGGGTAAGAACTTTGCATACTCAACACGTTGCGAGGAAGGCTGCCTACATACGATGCCACTCTTCAAGTTGTTGCCGGGCCTGCCCAGCAGGACCTTCTGCTCGGGTTGCGCCTTCTTGGGCGGCATTTTCTTCTTCTTGCTGCTGGCGTAGCCGCGGGAGAAGACGAGGCAGAAAAGAGCGCGGGGCTCAGAGGCGGGGGCGCAGAGAGAGCGAGCTGCGAGCCGCGAAAAGGCACAGGCCTGGGGCGCTGAGAGGAGGCGAGTGGTGCCTGGGGCGAGAATGATGGAATTGGAGCGGAGACGACTAACGAAAGTCTCTCCGTGCGAGTGGTTGAGGGGCTTGCAGTGGGAGGTGGGATGGGCGTGAGGTCGGCGGGGCGGGCACAGCAAAGCAAAAATTCGCGGCCGCTGCATCATTCCTCCGCTCCGTGGATGCGAGCGGCCGAGCTGGCTCACGTGTGCCGGCGCTGCCGCGCCCAACCACCAAGGTCGCACCGGGCTTCCCGCCGGCTAACCAAGACCGTCCTACTCCTAGTCTTAACACGTGCGAGCCCTCCAGCTGGCGGAGACATCTCCAACTCCTCGTTTGCCCTCACCAATCCCTCTGCTTTCGCCAGCACTACCTCTCGGCCTCTGATGCTTCAGTTCCCGCTCCGCCTAATCCGCGCATAGCCCCGAGAAAGCCGCCGACCAGCCCCAGCATCATGTCAACCTCGTCGCCTCCGAAGCCCAAGAAGCCATCGCGCGCGTCGAGCCACCGCTCCACCCTCTCGGTGCAGAAGACGGAGATCAAAATCCATGTCTATGACTTGCTGCCGGTGAGTTTTGTTGAATTGCCACTCCTCAGCCTCTCGCCGCGGCTGCCTGTCTCGGGCCTTCCCGTTTCAGCATGCGGATCTACGCAAGCTCGAGCTAACGACCACGCAGCCGGGTAAAGTTTCGTCGCTGCTGTGGACTCTCGGCAGTGGCCTGCTGCACTCTGGTGTCGTGATCAAAGACAAGGAGTATGCCTATGGCGGACACGACCGCCGTGGTGTAACCGGTGTCTACTGGACCAGGTCTGTGCCCACACCCATTACGTCAGTTGTCGCTGAAGATATTCACAATGCTCAGGCCACGTCTCGAGCCGCCCGGCGGCACCTTCAGGTGCGAGGTCCTGCAGGGCTTCTCCTTCCTCACCGAAGATGAGCTCGCTGCCGTCATAAGAGAGGTGTGTTGGCAAATCCGCGCGACAATCATTAGTCTGACCACACGCACAGGCCTCAGAGAAGTTCCAGGGTACTGCCTACAACCTGTTGACCTTCAACTGTAACCACTTCACCTCGTACTTGTGCGAAAAGCTTACTGCAAGGCCCGCTCCGAGATGGCTCAACCGTGCCGCAAGCATCGGCGTTGCCCTGCCTTGCGTCGTGCCTCGGGAGTGGATCGCCCCTCCCGATCATGATACCGCTGACGGTGAGCTCCTGGACGAAGATGATGACGATGAGCGCGTAGCAATGCTGCGCGCGACTCAATCACAGGGTTCTCTGCACCTTACAGATTCACAGGATCAGTACTCTACCGACGAAGAGCTTGAGAGCAGTCGATCTAGATCGAGGAACGCAGCCAAGAGATCCACTTCCTCAACTGAAATCGGTCGCCCACGGCGCTCTTCGGTCAGAGATACTAGCGGGCGCGAAATCCCTGCCAGCGAGCGCGCTCCCGTGCACGCCAGATCTTAAGGTGCCTCCCTATGTCAGTGTAATTATTACTTTTTTGAAAAGTTTCCTATCTCTTTCATTTGCGGCACTGGAGGGTTGATACCATTGTGGCGGTTACTAGCATTCGGATCAGGTTTCGGGAGGGCGGAATTTGTGTGCTCACTGAGCGTTCAAGCGCGGTCTTTCATTTGATGAGAAAGGTTTTTGATAGGCCATCTTACAGTTATTCAATGGCATTCTTGTGCAGCATTTCTTTTCCCTTTGTCACAACGCCACGCCGTAGCCAGTATTGTACAACAGGCCCATGATGTACACCTCACCAAGATCCTTGAAGAATGCCTGGCGCCTTGCCATGCCTGCATATATTTTTTCTCGATCCATGTCGTTCTTAACCCAATCTCCTCGGCTTCTTACCCCTGGTACCACCGAACTTCAACCTCGTCGCATCAGTGACTCTCACAATGCGATTCCGGATGTTCATGCCCTCCGAACCCATAATGGCCTTCCTCACAGCTTCTCTGCCTTCACCGAATCCTCTGAAGACGAGCTCCAACCTCTTGATCTCCATCAACAGACCACGGTCCTGGATGTTGCTCAACAAGAAGGCGGCAAGCTGGTACGCAGCGTCGTAGCTTCCACGGCCGGCTTTGCGGAAGCCAATATTGCCCGCCGCGATGCTTATGATGGGGTTGCGGTCGGGACGAGTGAGGGTCAGGTGCGTGTTGTGCTTTGAGGATACGATGTGCAGGTGGTGTGGCTCGGGCTCTTCCATGAGCGTAGCTTCGCCGGGCTTGTAGTTGATGTTGGAGTCGCTGCTCAGCATTTCGGCGAAGCTGGGACCCTGGTTCACAGGACGGCGGTCGTAGCCAAGGGGCGATTGGCGTTCGGCGCTCAGCGCCGAGCGGAGCGTGCTAGCGGCCGACACGTCGTAGGGGTCGTCGGCGGCGCGACGAGCGGTGGTCGAGAAGGAGCCGGACGCCGTCGTGGTGTTGAGGAAGGCGGGCCGCGCGAGCGATTGCGATGCGGCGCGGCAGGACAGGCATATCGAGCCTCTGAGGGCCGAGAAGACCCGCGACGTCCTGTTCTCCAGGACCATGGCGGACAGAGAGACGAGGCAATTGGCGTGGTGTGGTTGGTAGCTCGCGCGCAGAAGGCCGCCGGGTCGAGAGATTTCGGAGCAGCGCCAGGTCAATCGGTGAAACCTCGGCTGATGACACTTTTTCGTTCGTGAGGTTCCTGCTTTCTCCGCCGGCGCGGCAGTGAGGTTTTCTGGGGCAACAACCATTCGACTAATCCCGCCACGCCTCAACCCACCTCAATTCCTTTCCCGCGCGTCTGCCCTCCATCGCGGCACTTCAGTCCTTTCGCGACTTGCCATCTTCCATTTCTTTCAGCGCGTCTAGAATGAAGGCCTTCGCCAGCAGCTCCGTCGGAGCGCGCGTTGGAGGTGCCGCTCGCTCATCTCTCACACCCTACACTTCCGCCTATGGCCGCTCCGCTGCCTGCCGCCGGTTATCCACCGCTGTGCTACAGTCGCAGCGCCCCTCTTCCCCACTCACTTCCCCCGTCTCTTCTTCGTCTTCCTCTCTTCCTTTCCTCCGCTCGCAGCTTCAGCCGCAGGACATCCTCCTCCGCTCCTCCGCCCTCTACGCCCGCCACTTCCACGCCCAGCCCTATCTGAGCCGGAAAGCGAAGAAGGCAGACCCCACAACCTCCGCCGAGGACAAGGCGCGTGCCGAGGACGCAGACAAGAGCTCTTCCGCCGCCGACGCCGAGACCGGCGAGAAGAAGGCCGAAGGCGAAAACAAGGCCGAGGGTGAACAAGCCGAGGGCGAGCAGAAGGAAGAGGGCAAGGAGAAAGACGGCGACAAGAAGAAGAAGGAAGATGCGCCACCCCCGCCGCCGCACGGCGACAAGACGCCGTGGCAGGTCTTCACCGAGACGCTGAAGACCGAGTTCAAGGCGTCGAAGGAATGGAACGAGTCGACCAAGCAGCTAGCCGCTGGCGTCGAGGACTTCACCCAGAACGAGAACGTCAAGCGTGCGCGCTCCGCTTACAAGTCTGCTGCCGAGGTAACCGGCACTGCTACTTCGACCGTCCTCAAGAAGACCGGAACCGCTATCGGACAGAGTGCTGCGTGGACCTGGGATACTGTGCCTGTGCGCGTGCTGAGGAAGGGCGCCAATGCTACTGGTCGTGGTCTGGAGAAGATCACCAGGCCGGTGCGCCAGACTGAGGCGTACAAGAGTGTCAAGGACGTCATCGATGATGGCAGCTCCTCGAGATACGGTGGTTGGGTCGAGAAGGAGGAGCGCAAGAAGAAGAGGGAAGAGAGAGATGAGAAGTCCGGCAGGCCCAAGTTCGTGGAGAACCCGGAAGAGGATCCCAAGTATGCTTGCATCTTTCGCTTTTCTTTTTTGTACATGCTAACTGTAGTGCAGCGCCGGTACCAACATCACCCTGCACAAGGATGCTGCATGGAAGGCTTCGTGGAACGATTTCCGTGAGAACAGCCGTCTGATGCAGTCCCTCTTCGCCATGAAGGCCAACTACCGCGAATCTGAGAACCCGCTCATCTCCACCGCCCGCAGCATTTCGGACCGTGTCGCCGGTTTCTTCGCCGAGAACGAGACTGCTATGGTCATCAAGAAGTTCAAGGAGATGGATCCTACCTTCCAGCTCGAGCCTTTCTTGACGGAGATGCGCGAGTACATCCTCCCTGAGGTCCTCGACGCCTACGTCAAGGGCGACACCGAGGTCCTCAAGCTCTGGCTTTCGGCTGCTCAGTACCAGGTCTACGCTGCCCTCATGCAGCAGTACACCACTGCCGGCCTCAAGTCCGCCGGCCGCATCTTCGATATCCGCAACGTCGAGATCCTGAACGCCCGTCTGCTCGATCCTGGTGAGATCCCCGTCTTCATCGTCACTTGCAGGACGCAGGAGGTCCACGTCTTCAAGAACGCCAAGTCGGGCGAGCTCGCCGCCGGTATGGACGACAAGGTGCAGCAGGTCACCTACGCCATTGGTGTCACCAGAATACCCGAGGACGTCAACAACCCTGAGACTAGGGGCTGGAGGTTGATCGAGATGCAGAAGAGCGCGAGGGACTACATCTAAGCTCTCCCCTCCCTTGAATGCTTTTCTGTGTACACCTTTTGACGTTTTGCTCTTCTCCCTCTTTGTACGATTCGTCGTTGTTCCTGGATCCGACACTCACCACTGGCATATTTTCTTTCCCCGGTTTGCGTCTGGCGGGCATTTTTTCCATGGCGTGAGCGCTGTATGGAAATGGAAGAAAAAGTTTCCTCGTTTACGTGTGTGTGTTTGTACTACTACTACACTACTGGCTGGGGCGCGTCTCCATATCCCTTAATGGTCGCGCCCCATGGCTTGCTTATTGCTACTCCTTTCACTTCCTCTGAGCTTTTTTAGACGTGGGAGGAGTCATTTTGTTTTTTTATGATGGAGGAAAGATGGAATGGAAGGGAATGAAAAAGGATGGATAAAAGGAAAGGAAAGTCCCCGCTCTCAAACTACATGTACAGTACCTTTGTTTTTGGTGTGTGTTTTGGTTGGTTTATACCTGGTGGATGAGGGATGGCGTGTGCACAGGCGGGGGTTGATTGTGGGGAGGAATGAAGAGGGTTTGGTGGTTGGTGGAGAGAATGCGTAGTGATTTTGGTAGACAGGAAGAATGTGCGCGGTGAGAACGTTGGAAATGAGAAATGATTGAGATGAAGTTGGTCCTCCTGTGCTTCGTGCTTAACTCGTGTTGCTCTGAATTTTGGTGGTGGCACGCTGCTTGGTGGTGAGAGTTATTGTCTTCCTTGGCTGTGTGGGTGCAAGTTTACGATGCAGGATTACGTGGAGATGCTAGTATCATTCGATCACCTTACCGTAAGAGCTCAAGATGTTTGCGATGGCTCTGATAGATAGATCTGCGCAAGATATTGTCGCGGAGATACTGTTCGTACATACATCGGCGGGTTGAGCAATCCACGCGGACGGTAGCACAACCAGAGTGTGAACGAACTATCCTGATTAGGAAGTCGCTTGCCATACACATGCACATAGCGTGGCAGAACCCCTCCTCGAATGTCTATATAAGCGCCCACCACCTTTCGTATTCTACATTTCTCATTGTCAGACTCAATACAGGGCTTGGGTTCACCCTCCAACTTAAGCGGACTACTGTTTCTGGATCCAGAAGATAGCAACACGCACTGGCGGTTTTCCGCTGGCTCTCCCGTTATGGACTCCGCTTCACGGTGCGGCTGGTGCTCGAAAACAACGAGGAAGTCGGAAGTGAATGCTGATGGCTAGAAGCATTTTAGGAAAGTGCTGAAACACAGCATTAGCATTCAATGCTGAAGGCAGCTAAATATATTGCGGTGCGGCGTCGTTGGGCTGCGGAAGCGGCGGGGGGAGTTCTGATATATTGAGTGGCGAAACAGGAAAAACGACGCAGTGGACTCGTCTTGGGAAATCTGGGAAATCCAAGTTGCTGAGCCGTTGTTGACACATAAAGAAAAGCGAGCAAATATGCGGTTTTACCTTCGATGATCTGCGCCGGACGCGGAGCACGGGACTGAACTGACGTTTCATGCCGCTTGGCGTGGTGCATGAGAAATGTGGTAGGGAAGATGTGTCACAAGGTATTGCTTTCAATCTCGTTGCGGGGTTTATATACAGAGTGGTTGACTGCATTGCTAGGCTACATAGCAAGTTTCAGCTTACAAGTTTAGCTCGTTGTAATCAAGAGCACAACATCAAAGCACTGTCTCCGCTTCGTTCGTAGGTCAAAGATCCTGTAGAGAAAAGTGTGACGGATTTGATATTTCAGCCTGTTGGTGATGAGCTCCATTAGAGCAATGGGCTGGATACCAGCATTCGGGCAGAATGGTGAGTTGTGTCTACGAAGTGAGTCCCCGCAAAAAAGGCAGGTAACTAGATCAACAACACGAAACGTGATCAAGTCAAAGTCCACCACTTCCGACAGTACAGTTTTACGTCACAATCTCTTTGGTATTAGGGCCACTTGCCTAGTATTGGTGAGAGAAGAGTAGGCCGTGGAAGAGCGGTGGTTTTATCTATGAAGAATTCTTCATATCGCAGGATTTTCACCTGAGCGGCGCATGTGATAAGCTTGAATGGACCGGATTCAGCTCTTTTAAGAAGCATCACTTCCAGTCCATGCCAGCCATGCCTGACAACTCGAGCGAGAGAAAAGTCTATGTGCACATGAGGCGAGCACACTACATCGCCAACCCAACAGCCCGACTGTGGTTGGCTTTGGGCATGTGGCATCACATTCAATTTTGCGAGGACCGGTGGTGGAGGTGGTGATGTGATGTTGTGGGCCCATTCATTCCGTCGATTGACATCAAATGATGATCGTCAGCATTCTCCTTTGAACATAAATACGTTTGCTTATAAATGCAGCTGAAGATGCAAACTTGCCTTGATATTAGTGGAAAGAGGCATGAGTGCCTTGCATTTGCTTTCTCGCCGAACCAGCTCCCAATGCTTTTCTTTGTTGCCGCTTTGGTTGCGTAGATCGGAGATGAATGTGAGCTTTCTGACTTCGAATGGCGCGAAAAAGTTTTTATACCACTGTATTGGTGATCGAGGGTGAGCGACCTCGGGTGAAAGGTGAGACTGCGGTACGTAGCACGTGGAAATTAAAGTTGAGCGCTTTAAAAGCGACTATCTCTTACTTTGACCTGTATTTCCAATCATGGGCTGTGTTTCGACTTTTACACTCATTTCACTTGCTCTTCGTGCCTTTTGCCCAGTTCACATTTTGCGCTTCGTGAGCAAATTGGGAGCCGAGTCATCGGTAGGTGATCCAATGCTTATTATTGACTTTTATAAAGAATGATGGGGTGCACCATGTAGTATGAATGACGAAGAGCGTTCATAATTCCCGAATAGCAGGATCTAGCAGAGATATAATCAAGCAGGAACTCCACGGCCGGCCGAGTAAAACAAAGTCCGATCAGCTCAAACCGCGACAACGGAGTGTACGTATAATGGTACAGTGCATTTAGCAAGCTCTATTGGCGTCGATGTGGCGCTAAGAGGATCGAAAATCTCTCTTAAATCCTTTCCCTTAACCGGGGCCTCAACCCTTGCATAAGAGTATGGCAGCTGCTCGCCATCCAAGAGAAGTGGCATGTGGCATGTGAGACGCGTGGAATGTCACCTGATCATTTCGACTTAGAATCTCCTATGACATGTTAGGTCCTACAGACATCAGTACTTAACGTACGGGACTTAGCCTCAATCAATTGCCATAGGTTTAGACGTGTCATTACGCGTCCGCAGTTTCAGAAAGAGAACGTGCATACCGACACTGAACATGATGCCGCACTTTAGAACACACACAGTGAGCTGCGGGAAAGATTATCATGTGCGTACCGGAAAGTTTTTCACAGTCTTCCTTGACGGGCAGTTGAAACAAGCATCTCGGATGTAAATGTGTGACTCAAGTCATTTCACCTAGCAACGTAAGAGATATGAGAGTCATGGTGCTATAAAAGACCCATAAGCAGCTATCCACTTCCGACGTTCCTCCTCCGAAAGCTTCTCTGGATTGCTCTTTGTCCCATACTGGCCTCGCCACGAGCCCTTGGGACCATACCAGCCGGCTCGTAACGCATCGGCGGGATTGACAGCTTGCCTCTCTTCGAAGTCGTCTCCGTCCCATTGCTCAAACCAGACTCTCAAATCGATATCCTCTTCAACCATCGCTCTCGCAGAGGGACGTGTCGGGTAGTGATTCAGAACTTTGGTGTGGAATGGCTTCAATTCAACCGGATCTTGATCGCGGATCTCATTGTATATGCGACCACCTTCGTCGATGGAGATTGTTCCGCAGCCAACATGGATTTGACGAGCATTGCTCACAGACTGAAACGGATCTGCCATATAGTGTGTATAGCAGTATATCCCTCCAGCAGAAATGGCAGAGAGCTTCATGTTGGCTGGTGAATCGGGAAGATCCTCTCCAGAGAAGAGCCGGATATACGGCTTGAAAGTGGCAGGCTGTTCTTTGTTGTTGAGTAGTTTTCTCGGGGAGGCTACGAGGACCGTCTCGGTGTGGAAAAAGTTGTGCAGGCCGTCTCTTTTGGGATCCAGAGGTTCATCCAAGATGGCATCGCAAAGTAAAGCCGCCAACTCCAGCGATTTGTACCATGCCTCGGCAACATTGAGCGTTTGGGGCAATGCAGATGGTAGAGCCTGGACCCGGTCAAATGCTTCCACGTACCCACCAAGGAAGCTTTCACAGACAAATTTGTGTTCTGCCTCAGCGCGTTGGCTTGCTGCCTCAACGGCTTTCCCTCTTGAAACGTCCCAGGCCTCTCCATGGTTGTCTTGCCAGTCTTGCAGCATCTGTGAAATATGTGCCTCGGCTTTCAAGTGTGATCGGCGTAAATCGGGCACCTTGTAAACGAACTGGTTGAGGAGGGATACCGGTGATGGGTATCGTAGGTAAAGTCGGGATCGGGGAGAGTAGTGACGAATAAGAGCATGGCAAGCAAGCATAACTCCAAGATCGTCCGTACATTTCTCCAGCTGCAAAAGAAATTCGTCGCCGTACAAACTACCCAACACGCAATCGAGAGGTATCCTCCAGTTCAGGTCCACTCCCTCGTGTTTAAACAAACGTTTTGGAAACTTTCCTCCGGCGTGGAGAGAATATGTCTTGCTGGTCTGGACTATTGCACTGGTCGATGCGGACGTATCGACGACAAAGCGGACCTGACAACTTTCGGATGCTGGATCGAAGTTCTCCGCGGCCACTCCGAAGGCTCCACGAAGGTCACCACAAATCTGAACGCGGAGACCCAAGACCACCTCGCAGAGAACATATCCCCACAAGCATGTCATGCCTCCACGAACCTCGATTGATTCATTCTTTTGCATCTGAATTGTTCCGATCCCGTGGAGGAATTCGGCGACACGACGCGGCCCACTGGCTTGCAATCTTCGTTCCGCTCCAATGCCGCTTTTTATGGTTTGCACCCCAAAGATTCTTGCGAGTTGGTTAATCCTCTCGCCAAATTTGACTGAACAAAAAAGGCTTGAGCAAGCTTGCACATAGTTCTGCCATTGAGCGTAGGATGGTGTCAGCTCCACAGGGCTCCCCATGAGCTTTGCCAATTCGTAAAGCACAGCCGCGGCGAAGTCTTTCGAGAAGCCCTCCGAGAGCGCAGCAGTGATGGCAACTCCTGATGCTCCTTGGGATGTGGCGGTTAGCTCTCGAAGAATATGGCGAATTCCAACGCCGAACCACACGATGTCTCCGAAACTGCTGTAAGCTTTCAGCCCTGCCATAGCTCGCTTGAGCACTTGTTGGCCGTGGATCCCGATTGGTATGTGGAAAAACAACCCTTGAGCCACAACGGCTGTTACCGGTTCCAGTCCGGCTCTGGATAGCCGTCCGAGCACGGCAACTGGGAAATTGACAGACATGTTGGCGAGAGCAACCCAGTCAAGAGAGCCCTGCTGGGCAAAGGCTGGGTCGCTCGATGAACTGGGAACAAGAGCCATGATGATTTGTTGGTATCTTGACGGACGTGATTACAGACTTTTGAACTGTAGAGCCAACGGAGGAGCGATAAGGGACTGTAGACAAGGCTATGGTTTTGTGAAAAGATTTATCGGCCCCCACTGGTCACGAGATGACTATCCGCTGACAAAGATGGACTCGCCTATCTTGCCTGTAATTGGCTTTTGGAGTTCGACGCCGTTAGCAGAAAAACTTGCTTCTGCCTCTCAGAAGTGTGAACAAACGAGACAATAAGAGCACGAAGTTGGAGAAAGATACCGAAGATTGAAAGTTAAACTTTATTACATGATCTTCGATCTCAGATGGTCAGTAGAAGTCATTGACTAATCTCCGCCATATTAGAGACTGTTGCCGCAATCTCACTCGAAAACGGGAAGCCTTAATACTGGCTCCAGAACATCATGCGTCGGCTTTTTAGAGACATAGGATACATACTGTTTCCTATTCTACGGTACTGAGAACCAAGCCTTGCAACAATATGAACAGCGGGGTGGCATTAAGAGGAAAGGGATTGTTCCACTGAACACTGTATTGAAGAACATGAAATCTTAGGAAATTCACTTCAAAAAACGCCGCTACGAATATCCGAAAATGTGCATCCTTTTCTCTGAAACTTGAGTTGAGGTAAAATGTGGGAGAGCAGTATATTTCATTCACCAGGGCGATCTTCATTAAGTTCTAATGATAAACAGCATTGTAGCCACATACTCTCGCAGAAGGTCACACCACCGAGCCGACACAGTCAGAGGAAGGAAACACCAAACCGAACCGAAGACCAGGAACAGTGAAATAAGCATCCCAAAGTTGGCTGCAAGCAATGATGTGCGGCAAACTTCGAAGTAGATACAATAAGGGCATCTATTTTTGCACTTGGAACTGAAAGAGAGCACCGAGTCATGGTATATTTATACACTTCAAAAACTCTGCCTCTTGCCTAAATACCCCGTTGGCGTCCAACAGACCGTCAAGACATAAGCCAGGAGTCATCGCCACATGCATTCAGCCACACTCCCAAAGATCTGCTGAATGTAGGAAACTCTATCACATGCCTCTCGCAGGCGGCATAATCTCCACAGGACTTCACCCTCTTTCTCCCGATCCACTCCGCAGGGGGGTACTTTTAAGCGCTGTTAATACCGGCCATTGTCTTTCAATCAGCAAGCAGTAATCGCTGGTAGAACAGCACTGTCCGTTTAGACATGACTCTTCCTCCGCTTTCTTTGCCGACTGTAATCCTCCATGTAGTATGCTGAGCCCTCCGTGAGCTATTCTTGCTCTTAGCACAATTATTTGGCCAAAGATGCTTGTCATCTCAACTGCTTGTGGGTACTTATCATCATCAGTATGAAGTGCTGGCCCTCATCGCCAGCATCACAAGCACCATTTCTGTCAGCAGTCCAACGCGAGGGCTTATGGCTAGAGTGTGAAGGAGTCAGACTGCAAGAAACACCAGGGCAGTTCTTGTCTTGCTGTATCGTATTTATCTTGAACGCGTCACTGATACCTGCTGCAACGTTCAGTAACAGGAGGAGGACGATCCCTTAAAAACGAGACTCCTCAGCTCCCTGAGCTCGTGCTTGACCCGGCACGAGACCAAGCAGCATCAGTCACATGATGATGGCGCAGATGAGCCACTGTGTGGCCTGCAGGAAAAACTTTGCGTGGACTGCAGGCTGCGATGTTGAAGGAAGCATGTGCTAGCCGCAAGTGAAGAGGAGATTAGACCACGCAAAACCCGCTCAGATGACATGCACGGCTTGACATCGCGTCATTTCCGGAGGAAGCTTGGCTTTCGAAGGGTATTGGGGCAGTAGGGGCCAAGTTTAAAGTTTAATTCGAGGGAGATCAATGTTATTTGTCTTCCGGATTTTGTTTCTGGAAACAGTCCTACATTTGTCAGGTCCTGGGTGTTGAAAGTCGCTAATGGGATTCTGTGAGCTTCGATTCGGTAGAAGATAGAAAGAAAAAATAGACGGAGAAAGTGTCTGTCTCATCAAGCCCAGGTTCGTGGCTGAAGATTGCAGTCTCTTCACGTCTATGGTTCGCCTTTGGCCAACCTACTCACTGTAGAATATAAGAACTCACGCCTTTCAATCTCGCATACCCACGTTGGACGATATCAATGTATGTATGTACCAAGAAAAATCCATTCGTTGTATCATACCTCAGAATGCTCTCCAACCTTCCACCTCAGACCGAGAGTAGCTGCTCAATCCCCCAGACGAACTACCGTCTATCATCCTGACCACACAAGTCCAGTCGACCAGATATCTCACCGCTCGCTGGACATTCAAAACAAACAAAATCGTGGTCATTAGATATCCGCTCGCTCTTTTTTTCTAGTCCACATGATACAGACAGAAAAAAGAAACACGTTTTTGAAAACCCCCCCTCCCTTATCCGTAGATAAAAAAAAAGAATTTCCCGGCTTTGTTCTTCTAACTTTGCCCAGAAACCCCCCTTTTTTCCTTGTCAGTCGCAACGCCAAAGCCCTATGCAAAAAAAGCAAAGTCCGCTTCTCCCGCCATTGCTCTGCTTCTTTTTCTTCCCTTGTTGGTTCATTCGACACCGCTGACAAACCGGCCGCACTATTGATTCCAGTGTGGCGACCCTTTTCCCATGGCCCCGTGGCATTGACTCCTATTTTCTTTTCCACTCTACGCGTCACTGGGCAGCAAGTTGCTCTTGACGGCGAACATCTTGGCCGAGACGCCGGCGGTGAAGCCGTCGACCTGCCTGCTGTACTGCTCGACCTGGCGGCTGTTGAGCAGCGTCTCGAGGCGGCTGGGCTCCTGGGGCAGCTTGAACAGGCGCTGCCACTCGTCCTCGGGCAGCGGCGGCTGCTTGGCGGCGGCGCGGGCCGCGTTCTCCGCCTTGCGCTTCTGCTGCCACGCCGTGATCTTGGCCTGCTCGCGGCCCATGGAGCGCTGGTAGTACTGGTAGTTGTTGAGCTCCGTGTGGTGGTTCTCGATGCTGTCGAGCAGCAGGTCGCACGTCTTCTCCAGGAACGGGTCGATCGACAGGTCCAGCGCGTCGTAGTTGGGGCACAGCGGCGGCTGCGGCTTGAGCGGGTCCGTGTTGAGCGCGGCGAGGTTGGGCGGGAACTGCAGCTCGTCCTTGGGCGGCTGGCCGGGCAGCTGGTGCAGGAGGGTGGTGAGGAGGTGCGAGTTGTGGATGGTGAGCGGCAGCTCGACGAGGATGTCGTGGTAGCGGAGACCGCTCTTCTGGAGGCTGTGAGGAGTTAGCAATTTGCGCAAATTAAGACAACGGTCGTGGAGAGCCCGGGGAACAGAGTGGTGTTTCGCTCCACCAATCTCCAAATAGGCTCTCCACAGACCATAAGGAGTGTGAAGCTTACCTCTCAGTGGTGAACTTGCCCTCCTTGTAGGCCTGCATGAACTGGGGCGACAGGCGGAAGGCGCGCAGGCTCAGGGCGCCCTGGGAGCTACGGCTGACGTCGTGGACGAGGGCGACGGTGCGCTCGTTGTGCTCCTTCTGGTAGAAGAACTGGTTCTCAATGGTGTTGAGGTTGACGAAGTTGCCCATGCTGGTGCTGGTGTACCAGCCGACGTTCTGGGCGTCGACATTGACCTCGCGCAGGAACTTGATCATCTCGTTCTGGTAGACGACGTTGGCCTTGGCACGCGGGGCGGCGGCAGCAACGCTCTGCTGGCCGTCATGAGTGCCATCAACGGGGGCATCGACGGTCGGGAAAGGGAAGCAGTTGGTGACCTGGAGGGTGCCGTTGACGTCCATGCCGACGAGCGAGCCGGTTGCGGTGGTGGGGAAGGCCTGGGAGCAGTGCTTGATCATCTTCATGACCACAAGGGCCTCGACTTGGACCGCGCGGAGCGGCGACTCCTTGATAAGGTCGGCCATGGTGTCTGGGGGTTGTGCGTTGCCGGTGTCGCGTTGATGGTGGTGTCGCGCGTCGGCGGCCCGTGGGGCAGAAATTCGTTGTTACTTAGATCCAGCGCACCGCCGCAAGCTCGCTTACCGGGTCTTGGCGCCGACGACTAGGGTCGGCCAACCATATAAATTTCCCTTGCGGTTTTGACTGCCGCTCCAGCCCTTAAAATTAAACACATGGCCTGGTATTCTGAAGTGTAGATCTACATGGTTGATCCGTGGGTTGAATCAGGAAAGTCTCCGGACATCAGGCAGTCAGGCATCACCATCACATCGCACCGATAAGATAGCTTGAGCTCTCAGATAATCTGAAAGATGGATTGTCTTCTCCCTAGACAAAGTTACTTTTTGATATCATGAAATAGATTTCGTCCCAAACACCACCCATGCTGCCATCCCGGTCTCTGAACGCCAAATTTCTGCAAGTCGCTGCATCGCTTCAACCCATGCGAGCCTGTGTGACATACCGCGCAAAGCTCATGTCGTCCCCACCAGCAGCTCGGTCGTGGTCCTCCTGTAGAGCCTTCTGGTACCTGCTTTGCAGACCCTGCTCATCATCGTCATCCTCCTCGAAGTCGTCCGAGTCCGCAGCCGGTCCATCCTCGTCTTCATCTTCATCTTCGAGATCGCTGATCGTCTCCGGCTCCTCCTTCTTTCTTCCCTTGTTCTTAGGCTGGCTGGGCGTCTTGTTCGAAGCCCCACCGACGCTCATATCCCTCATGAGCTTGTCAAGCTCCTTCTCGCGCCTCTCCTCCTTCTCCTTCACACGCTCTTCCCGCCTCCGCTCAAGCTCGGGCTTGTAATCCCGCTCGAACTCCGCTGCCTTCTCCTTCACAGCCTCAAAGAACTCGTCCACGCCCGCACCGGTCATCGAGCTCACACCAACAACGCTCAAGTGCCGGTAGAACTCCTCCAGCATCAAACTCATGCTGTTCAACAAACTACCCATGTACCCGCTCCCTCCGCCAACCGGGCCCTCGCCCCCCTCCACGCCTCCAAAACCACCGCCGTTCTCCTCTTCCCTCAGCGCTGCCTGGAAGGCCTCGAAGTCCGTCATCCACTCCTTGACGAACTCGGCGTCCATGACGTCGGTCTTGTTCATGACCAGGATCATGGGCAGCTTGGTCTTGTAGAGGATACTGCAGGCGTACAGCATGTTGCTCATAAAGGTGCTCGTCGACGCCGTGCGCGGAGTGTCGATGACGTACGCGATGACCGTCGGGAAGCTGGAGGCCAACGAGCCGAGCAGGATATCGCCGCTGGCGCTCCACACGAAAACCTCGATCTGGCCGGGCGTGTCGACGAGGATGTTCTTGATCGGCTTGTGCTGCTGCTGCTGCTGCTGCTGCGGTGCGGCCTCACCAGCTGCCGGAGGGGGCGGCGGCGCGGTGCGCTTCTCGAGCAGGGCGAGGATCTGGTCGATCTTGGTGGCGAAGAGGTTGAGCGAGGTGATGATGCCGCCGTTGGGGCCGAGGTTGTACTGCTTCATGACCTCGCGGTAGTTGACCGAGTCGCGGATGTCGATGTTGCTGTCGAAGGGCACGTTGCGCACCGCCGGGTCCAGGTTGATGACATACGGCGGCTCTTTCTTCTGGTGTAGGTACGCGTTGATGCGCTGCATGAAGGTCGTCTTGCCGCTGCCGGCCATGCCGACGCAGACGATGGAGACGGGCGCTCCGGACGGGCTGGTTGCCATTGTTGTTCGCGCGCGATGGCTGGTTTGGCTTTTTCGTAGGGAAATATGCTTCGCGCGCAGCGCCGAGGTGTGAGTTTGTGGTTCGATCTGCGGAAGATTTGGTGGTGGGGGAGAGCAAGCTACGTCAGAAAAGTTTCGGCGGGTGCGCGACATCATTCGCGCCGCGCGGGCGAGACCCTGCCATCTCCGCCGACGCGCTTTGCATCACGATATTTCCTCACCCCTCCGTTGCCCAAAATGACCCTTGAAGACTTTGAGCGCGAGCTTGCCGAGAGCAAGTCCCGCGAAGACTCCCACAAGCGCCGCCACCGCAGCCGCAGCAGGGACCGTGATCATCGTTCAAAGGTACCGCGAGCTCTCCTCCGAGGAGCTCTCATGAGCTTCAACTCAATACATATATGCTAATTCACAGACAGGATAGCGAGCGCAGACATCACCACCGACACCACCACTCCTCGAAGCACCATAGCTCCCGCGACAAGGACGACGATCACGAATCGCGCCACAAGCACAAGCGCTCCCGCCGGGATGACGACGACCACCGCTCCTCCCGCCGCCACAGAGACGACGACCGCGACGACGAACATCGTTCATCAAGGCGCAGACATCATGAGCGCAACCGCTCGCGGTCGCCGCGTGCCGACGACGAAGATGCCTACCTCGAGAAGGGCACCATGGACGCACCGCCTACCGAGGATACCCTCGACAACCGACTGGCCGACGCGGAGGCTTCGTCTTTGAAGCGCGACTCCTGGATGGAGGCACCGTCGGCAATGGACGTTGATTACGTGCAGAGGAGGAAGGAGCCAGAGCCCGACAAGACCAAGGCGACGAAGAAGGACTATGACCTAAAGATCCACGATAAGGAGCTGAATCAGCACCTGAGAGATTTGCAGGAAGGAAAGGAAGACACTAGCCTTGTTGAAGAGCCGGCGCAGCATGAAGTCAGCTATACCTTCGGGGACAATGGGTCTCAATGGCGGATGACGAAGCTCAAGAATGTTTATCGTGAGGCCAAAGAAAGCGGTAGGCCGGTTGATGATATTGCACTGGAAAGATTTGGAAGCCTCCGGGATTTTGATGACGCCCGAGAGGAGGAGACGGAGCTTGAACGCCGTGCAACTTACGGCAAAGATTACGTCGGAAAGGAGAAACCAAGCGGGGAACTCTATCAGGAGAGAAAGATGAAGGCTGGCGTCCGGAGAGATTCGATTCCAAGTCAAAATGAGGTACCCGAGCTTCCTCAAGGACAGATCGTGCAAGAAAAGCCTCCCCCTGCAAAAGCTGCTGTGATGGATGCGACTTCTCTCAACAGGCTGCGAGCGAAGATGATGAAGGCCAAATTGAAGGGAGGTCCAGAGGCAGAGAAGCTCGAGGCGGAATACAATGCAGCCATGGCTGGTGCTGCCAACCGTAAGGAGCCTGAGGTTGTGGTGTTGGGCGCGATGGAGAACAGGATGCTTGCAAGCCGCAAGGGCGAAGTCAAGGACATCGACAACAAGAGAGGCAGAGAGCGGGGGCTGGTCGAGGAGAACGAGGATATGTCCATCGAGGACATGGTTCGGCAAGAGAGGAGGACAAGAGGTCAACAAGGCGGAGAAGGTTATCGCCTGGCCGAGACCATCGCAAAGGACGCCAAGTTTGACAATGACCTGGATTATATGGATGAGAATGCCGGCAAGCTGGCCAAGCACGTCCAAAAATCCAACATCAACCTGAGAAATACCGCCATCAGCGACTTCCAGAAGATGAACCGCATCTTGGATAGCTGTCCTCTCTGTCATCACGAAGACACCAACACACCGCCGGTTGCGCCCGTCGTGTCTCTGGGAACTCGTGTCTATCTCACTCTCCCCACCGAGCCTGAGATCAGCGAAGGAGGAGCTTGTATCATTCCTATTCAGCACCGCATAAACCTGCTCGAGTGCGATGACGATGAATGGGAGGAAATCAGAGTAAGCCACAACGCCCCCAACACCCCGACTCCCACATACATTAACATTCCCCGCTCAGAACTTCATGAAATGCCTCATCCGCATGTACCACGACCAAGGCCGCGACGTCATCTTCTACGAGAACGCCGCGTCGCCACACCGCAAGCATCACGCCGCGCTCAACGCCGTGCCCATCCCCTACGACCTCGGCGAGACGGCGCCGGCCTTCTTCCGCGAAGCCATCCTCTCCGCCGACGAGGAGTGGACCCAGCACACGAAGCTGATCGACACGGCCAAGAAGTCGCGCGAGGGCATGGGCCGCACCGCTTTCCGCCGCAGCATCGCGAAGGAGATGCCTTACTTCCACGTCTGGTTCGAGCTTGACGGCGGCATGGGCCACATCGTCGAGGACGCGAACAGGTGGCCGAAGGGAGATTTGTTTGCGAGGGAGACGCTGGGCGGCATGTTGGATGTCGGGCCTGAGGTTATCAAGAGGCAGGGCAGGTGGCATAGGAATGATAGGAGGGTGGAGGGGTTTAGGAAGATGTGGAAGAAGTTTGATTGGACGAGGGTTTTGACGGAGGGGCAGTAGGGAGCGGGCGTTAAAAAGCTGGAGAGTTGTTGGTAATGTCATACCCAAAATTGAGGATATAATTCTGTCATCCCAGCAGTATTCCTTCGCCATTCGCAATAGGGCATCCAGGTGACTGTCAGTCTTTGAAAAAATGACAGATACGACCCTAGGAGCGCGTGTGATGGCGGGATCAGGTGCAGTCTTTTGAAATTGACCTTGTGCATTATGCATCTTACCGTTCACCGCGTCACTGCCGCTATTTAAGACTTCTTTTCTGGGGTATCTCCCCGGCAACACATATGGTGCTAGCTCCTTCCGAATGATGTTAACGCGACACTCGCGTGCACTCGTTGGTGGGCGGTTTCTGGTAGCAATTCCTGGAGCGTGGATAACTGTTACAGCGAATCACAGATGAGTGTCAGCATCAGCTCAGATTCTGAGGATCAGCAAAAGTATTTGGTGGTGATGGTGTTCAACACTGACACATAGAGCATTTGAGAACACTAAAGCTCTTGCATTCGGACATCACTGGAGTTCATGATGGCTAAAGATGTATATCAGGTACTATCTATGACAGACGGTGAGTGTAGATTCGTTTCAATCCCTCGAACTCCCTGACAGGACGGGAAAAGCGAAGAGAGGGGAAGAGAAATGACTAAAGGCTGGTTCGTGGAAGGATGCTGCCAGCGCGCTCATACGGACCTGGATTCTGCAGTATGTAGGTAGGATTCCATTTGGTTTCGAGCTCAAGGCCTTCTATAAATTCAACTCAGGATGGGAAGACGTTGGGGCGGCACTGAGTCTGCCTGCTGGATTGGGAAAGAACGTGCCTACTCTTTCAGTTCACCCGCGCAGTTGCCTATCTGGATCACGCACATTAAATTTTACCCGCCGCTTTCAAAACTCCCGCGTCCAGTCGTCTCCTCAACGTTACTTCATCACCGCTTTCCGACAGGCCATCCCTCCGACAGGGCAGTGGCGGTCGCAATTCTTGCGTCGCCGACCGCAACAAACCAGTCCATCGCGCTATCACCATGACTAGCAAACACAAGTCAATTAGCATCCGCCAATGCCTCCAAAGGCTGGACTTGGCCTCCGAAGATGATCTGCGCAGCAGAGTCCTTGAGGTGCCCGCCTTCCTCAACGCCTGGGCTGAATTTCGCGATGACTTCCTCTGGGGCTCTCCTGAAGGTCTCAGTGGACACGTCTTCCTCAAAGTAGTCGTACCCGCAACCCTGCGCGAGCTCTCAGATCCCAATCCTACGAGTTTCTACATCTACCGCACCGTATCAGGACCAGCCAGCTATGCCACGCCTTTTGCCAAGGTTAACAAGACGCACTTCACTCTCAGCGACCACTATGTCCGCTTGCTCCTGCAAACTCTCCCTTCGCTTTCCAGAGCTCCGGACGGTATATTCCTTGGAAAGATGGGCACAGACGCAGGCCGTGAAGCGTGCGTTGAGGCATTGGCGTTCACGATTCATGCGTTGCGCAATCAGTATCGGCCGAAGAAAGAGGGAAATATGTCGCGCTGGCTCGAGAAGAATGTGCCAGACTCGAGGCATGCGGATAAGGCGAAGGGATTTGATAATCCGCGGTATAGTGCGATGAGAGCGCAGACCGTGGATGTTTCGGAGCAGGAAGAAGATCTGGATGGAGGGGCGGCGGCTGCTAAGGAAGGGGGAGAGAAGATACATGGAATATCTGATAGTGCAGCGCTGAGGGAGGAGGTGGGCCATGGTGTGAGTAAGAACGTTGTTACTTCGCTGCCCAGTCCGGGTTTCAATTTCAATCCATGGCCTCATCCGTCACCTGGAGTACTGCCACCACGTCCGACGTTCCCGCCGGCGTCGTCGGTGGGAGGGCAGGGAATATCGCCGCCCGCTTGGCAGCTTCCTCGGTTGATACCTCCTGGGGCAGACCGGACCCAACCCAACCAGCTGCAGCAACAGCAACAGAAACAGCAGCAGCAGAGGCAACAGCAGCAGCAGAACCAGAACCAGAACCAGAACCAGAACCAGAACCAGAACCAGAACCAGAACCAGAAACAGCAGCAGCAGCAGCAACAGCAGCAGCACCAGCAGCAGCAGAAGCGCCAGCTAGGAGCTACGCAAAGTCTCAACGGGCAGTCTCTTTCCAACACCAACAAGTCTTCCGCCTCCAGTCCCCCCATAACGCCCTCACTTTCTGCCACCAACAAAATCACCACTCCAACCGTCATGGGCATCTCAAATCGCAGTCTCAAGCGCAATCACAGGGCAACCTCACCTACCGTAGCTCATAACAGCCCCAACCCCAAAGTCGCCAGAACAAATTTGCCAGCGGCCACCACCACCAACGACAAAGCAGGCGCTCTCAACACAGAAGTAAAGCAGGAGCCGGACACGCCGAATGAGCAGAACGCCATCATCCCGTTCACATCACTGAGTCTTTCAAGCGAGAATGACGTGAACGAGGGCATGGACCAAGCGAACATGAAGCAAGAAGGAAACGAACAGAACATGTCGCCTCACACCCTGATCCTGCTAGAGCAAGTGCGGGTTGCGCGCAGAGGCTACGCGAAGGCGGAGGCGGAGCTCGCGATCGAGGATAACATCATCGCGCATGCTGGCGCGGCAGCTATGGTGGAAGCCGGTCAGGCAGGTTGGCGCGATTGGGTGGCGAAGAAGGCGGAGATGGAGGTTTGGAGGAAGAGGTGCGAGAATTGTTTGAGGGAGTTGAGGGGCGTGGCTGATGTGAACGAGTTGGAGAGCGTGTGGGCGGGGTTGGAGGCGGCGAAGAGGCTTTGAGGGTGCGAATGGGTAGAGGGTAAAAAGGTGAAGGGAGAGGGGCCGAGGTGAGGTGCTGTAGGCTTGGTGGTGGTGGGTGAGACGCTTGCATGTAGGTAGAGGCGGTTTTGCGATTCTTTTCGGGGTTTAATAGTAGATCAGCTGGCCTTGTCGCCTGATCTGGAGGTACAAGTGGCCGGGGCTTAATGGTGAGAGATATATAAGATGAGTTAAAGGAATGGAGTCTCTATGATATGCGAATCCAAGACCTTGTTTCATCCAGGAGTGGTTCCCACTCACTGGCTGCGACCGACAAATGGCCCGCACTGTCCGCTTTGTCAAACAAAAGCATGAGCGGGACCGATGCGGATATTCGGTTTTAACATGGACATTGAGCGTTAATCGTGAGGTCAGTATTTTGAACTTGATGATGATGCAGCTCAGATGTCAGTAGATGATGCAGGGCTCCAGCGGTATTGAATACTGGTGAGAAGTGCGATGCAAGAACACATGTACAACCAGAGTATATCTTAGAGTGTAGCTGGCCGCCACCAGCGCCCCAGAGTAGATCGTAATGCTTGTGGGTTTCAGTTCTCACCCTAGTATTTCTGTTGTTGTAATTGGAGAAGTAGAATTGTTTTACAAGTCGAGTTTATAAATATCTTTATGAGATGCGGTCAGCGCTTTCAAGACGTTTTAGGAAGCGCGAAGCGCACGTGAGGCACCAGTGAGCATCATAGCTCGCCCTACAGCTTTGCGGCTGATCACCGAATCGTACGCATGCGATTGGCTTGTTTGGCAAACCCAAAGGCGCTTAAAAATTAACTTTCTGTAGCTCAAGCGTAATCTTTTGCTATCACTTTTGTATTCAGTCCATGCTCAATGATTGCGACGCCTGAAAGGTGCATCGTTCAATCAACTCATCCACCAACTAGATAGAGCATGAGTACGATTGCTGCTCGATTACTGGCTCAAATCAACCAAGTGTCGTGGCGTCCTCTTTACTAACCGATACAAACGTCGCAAATATCTCAGCGGAGTTGGAAACTGTTTTTTTTGTCACTGCTTCAATAAGAAAAAGAGAAAAGAAATATGGAGAGCAATCGCTTGAATATTGTTGCACAATCTTCTCATCGAACTGAGCAGAAATGGGGTTTCAATTGTAGTATCATTTTCCTACGCTTCAAGGGCTCTGCAGCCGGTAGGCTTGCTGGTTGGAGAGATATCTCGACCTACATTTAGCCTCATTTTCGCCGAAGATGGGTCTGGAGACACGGGAGCTGTAGCTTGTTAGGCGGAACATACTAAAATATCAGGACTCAGTGACTCTGTGGAGTTCTCTACCTTCTCGTTTTTCATTCTTAGTATTCTCCTATTACACGCAAACGCATAGATTAAACTTCCTCAACTCTCTAGAGGTAGGTAAACTACCAACCCTTCAAATCCTTCTCCAAAGACGCTAAGTCTCTTTCAAGCGGAGTGATGATACGCTTATAGAGTTCAGCTCTTGCCTCGTTCGTTTCCAAACTAATACGACTTGGGGCTTCCCTAACCCATTGTAGACAGGCTTTTACCGCTGCTTGCGTACCGTTATAATCAATCCTCTCAACCACTCGCTCAGCCACCTCCCAATCCGTCAATACGCACAAGCTGCCCCTTTCTCTCCGATTCCTCCACTTTTCAATCGGTTTCTCTTCATGGATCTCCAAGAGAATGATCCCGAGCGAAAGGATACTTTCGTTGCACAATCGCAGAGTATTGTTTTCCGATTCTGAGTCTGCGTCATCCACATTGAAGCGGAACGAGAGGTATGGTCTTGCGTAGTCTGGCTCGTCTTCATTTTCGAAAAAGAAAAATATTCGATTCTTTTTCCAACCCCGTGATAGCCATTGACTATTGTGATAGTAGAGGAAAGAATATGCTAAGGTAAGGGATAGTTGAAGTTTTTGCTTTTTTGCCATTTTGCTCGGTCCGTCAAATATCTGCTCAAGTGAAGCGGGATCTTCTCGTTCATCGAATCTGATGTGACGGGGCTTTGGCGGAAGTTTCCACATGCGATGCTGGCCATTGACATCTTGTACCAGGAAATTCAAGCTGAGGCCTTTGTTCGAGGGCCGCAGTAGTTCACAAATTTTGTCAATTTGCTCAGGACCGATATCCCGTACGTTCCTTGATACTTGTTAGCTATTTTCTAGCGTTTTGTTGGTTGAAGACTTGCCTGTCAGACATGAGACACACCCTTGCTTCCTGCCACCAGCAGAGACTAGCTGAAGGAGTATCAGCAAATACGAAGAAATCGATGGATGAAATTGTGCCATTTTGACTATCGCTGACGTCTTCCAAAAGAAACTTGACGTCATGTGCAGTACTGCAACTGCAGTTCCAGCACTGTCCCATCACGTTGTAGAGATTGGAGATCAGATCACGGATCCTGGTTGATTGGGCGGCGAGTAGTCTGGCTTGAACGCTTGGGACAATATCGTTCTCTTCTCCGTCTTGTTCCGCATTGTTGTACCGTTGTTCAATCGACGAAAGAAGTGTTCCCAGTTCCTTCGTACATGTGTGGAGATTATGGAGGAAGTTGGCCCGGTCCTTTTTGTGCCTGAGAAATCGCAGGCGCTCTCGGAAAGGAGTTTGCGTAGAGTTTGATTCTCGCTCAAGGACAAGTGTTTCCAATTTTCGATACATGAGCTCCTCATTCTATATAGTAAGAGTGCGTAAGAATATGGCATGGTCCTTTATACACTACTACATTGATAAATGTATATACGCACCTTGTCTTCATTCGAAAGCTTTGTTGACTTGTCCCTGATCAAGCTGTTGAGATGTTGAACGATCTTCCGACTGATAGAGATGAAGCGGTGGAATTTCCCCTCAGATCCAAAGTAAGTTCTCAACGCGGATTGGATGGCGGGTGTATCTTTCCATTTCGAGAGGAATTCTGCTCGCCTGGGTAGTATGTCACTACCAATGTTCTTCAGTAAGAAGCCGTATATACTGTCAACATGACAGTTGATTGCCACGACTTCGCGATGAAAATGGTCGTAGAACTCTTCCAAAGCCTTATCCCTCCGAGACTGCTTTAGCACGTCCAGAATCGAATCGACGCCGCTTCTGTACACTTTTGCTCCTTCGATGAAGAGTGGCAGGATGGCGAACAGAAGGCCTGCCGTCTCCACTCCAGTAACCATACGTGCAAGACTGCCTGTGCCGGCAGTTGATTTCGAGCAAAGGATAAGTTCCTCACAGGAGCGAGTTTTGGACTTGAAGCGCGTGATTTAATGAAGAGAAGGGCCTTGAGGAGGAAAGAGGTAGACTTGAGCTGCGAAGGGTAGTCGAAGAGGCTGAGAAAACTTCGATTGTTCGGAGATTACAAGACCCCGCTTCGACGTGGGTCCACCTGTGAAACCCTCAGGGCTGCCATGCGAACCAATGAACTGCATCCGAGTGGCCAATCCAATATGCCGTTCAGACTGTTGACTCACGACTCGCGCGGGGTAATGGATCAGCTGGTAAGCAGCGATTGACTTCAGCCTCATCTTCATTGTTCATCGCCTTGCGCAACGCCCTCCATGTCAGATTTCGCGAGCAGAATCCTATGTTTCTGGCTATCACAGAGGCGCACCTCCCTTAAGAGCGATCGTTTCCCAATCATGTCCGAAAGCCTCCATACTTCGCTTGAGGCCGCAACCATCAAATGCGCACAGCTCTTCACTCTCCGCCTGAGCAACAACAGCAGCATTCGTGCTGAAGAGCTGGGGCGTCGGGATGAGTCTACCTTATCATGTCCTCGCCAGGATGACCAACTTGAGCTTCTCAATCAGCAAGCCCGGTTCAGGATCTGGGCCGGTAGTCTCGGTGTTCTGGCAGGTGGGCGTGCATCAGCAGACTGGCGACTCAAAGATGATCCGGACATAAAGGACGTTATTATGAGTCTATTACGTCGGCTATCGGCGAGTCTCGACGAGTTATACCAGGACGAGGCTCTTTCCGATTCAGAGTCGTTTTCAGACGCAAGCGGTTCAGAATCTCCATTTGTCCCTGTTTCACCGTTGGAGTTGAGTTTGGAGTTGAGTGGCGATGAGACTTCCTGTGTAGAGGAACCTGAAGATACCGCATCAAGTCCAGTCGACGGCAAATTCGCAGACATAAGCGAAATCATCACGGACCTTTACGGATTCACGGCATTTGTCAGGAAGTCACCCTCGACCAATGATGATGAGAGAGCAAGCAGATGGGCAGAACTAGCAGGGGATCAGGTACAGAACGAGCTCAAAGAGCTGGAGGAACATGCTGCGTGGCAATTGCGGGAACGTTATGAGAAACTGTCCGAGAAGTTTCCAACACTCCGAGACCGAATTCTCAATGCTATTGTTCAACGAAGAACACGACTACTCTACCGGGTTAACCACCAGAAGAAACTAGAGAGGAATTGGGTTCATCCTGCGGAGCTACAGTCAACTCCCATGGCGCCCTCGGCCCAAGGACATCGCTATGAGGAAACTGCCGCCGTCATTCCTGGATGTGACTTGGAAGTGAGGAATACACGAAACCAAAATGTATCATCCTTCATTGGAACTGCTCGGACCAACGCAACTTCTGTCTATAGATCCGGATCCGAGAATTGGGCAAAATCGACTGTTCTCTCGAGCATAAGTCCTTCTATGAAGTTCAATTTGGAGTATATAGATGTCCCGCCTGCCCCGAAGCCTGCAGCTGTGGGCATTCCAGAAGCGATGTGCCCGTATTGCAGTCGACCACTTGAGATGAGTATAGTAGGAAATGGCAATTCCCTTCGTTGGAAGTAAGTTTGCTCTGTTTACCTTTAGGAATCGAAGCTGACAGTGTTAAGACAGCACATACTACAAGACATTGCGCCATACGTTTGTCTATTCGAAAGATGTGCAACACCAGGGCAACAATTCAAATCGAAGGACGCATGGATTCATCACATGTCGTGGGAGCATGCGAGGATATGGACTTGTCCGCATGTCGACCATGGAGACAGAGTCTTTGAAAGT